CCGGGCCCTCTGGATCTGTAGCCAGGAACTCTGACCACTAGACCACAGAGGCAGGCCTCTACAAGAGATATTAACAAGCATGTGGCACTTCCTTATGTGAGGCTTCTGATCCACTCCTCCCTGCAAGGTGATCATTAATCACGACACAGCTTTCATTAAATCGCGTCTACTGCTGCAGTCCACACACTCAAGCAAGTGTGGGAAGCTTATAATTAGTTTAATAATCGCGAAGCGGCGGTGGCCACACATCTCTGGTCAGACCACACGATCGAGCCAGCGAAACTCCTCCCCATAACGTATGAACGCCGGTTATTTAATTAATAACTTTAAAATTAGAATTGCCCTACACGCTGCAACAGCGACATTTCGGTTTTTATGCACAGTCACTAGTGGTAACAGAATTCTTCCTTTACTGAAGTAAAGGTAAAAAAAAAAAGATAACGGTAAAGCTATCCCTGTAACAGGCCGTGGAGGTCCATGGGATTGTGAGACGTCGATGCTCCCACATTTTGTAACCAATCGGTTCACAGATGGCGGTGAATTTGTCAGCCTTACACGCCGGCCGCCCTTTACCCCAGAAACCCAGAGCTATAGTGCGGCTCGAAGTATTAGGTCAATTTAAAAATTTAATTACCTCATCGGAAATCGAACCCTCGGCCTTCCGGCTTACATCATAGTGCCTGAACCAAATACGTTACGGAGTGCACTACTACTACTACTACTACTACTACTACTACTACTACTACTACTACTACTACTACTACTACTACTACTTATGGAGCTGATCCCTTCTGGAGGAGCCGCCAATTCTGCAGCTACTCAATTTCCCAGCATTTTATGGAACCCGAAGGTTAATTGCCGTGTTCACAAGAGCCCTACACTGGACCCTATCCTGTGCCAGATCAATCGAACCCATGCCATCCCATCCCAACCTATCTCTCTACTACTACTTATACTACTACTACTACTACTACTAATAATAATAATAATAATAACGCCTAGACACACAAAACAAACTTATAATTAATACTATTCTGTAAATAAATTATGTTAATGTGAAGGTTGTAAATACAGTAATTTTGTATAACTCATGTTCTCATAACCTGTGAAGCACAAGATATGTTCATGAAATACTGTATACTCGTAAGGTCCACCACACGAAAAATTCCAACATATTCTTAACACTGAGATCACTGTAGATTATGTAGGCGATAATAATGATGATTTGGTCATAAAAGAAACTTGGATGAGAATAAATTACTATAGCATTTTTATGAATCATATATTGCTCGAGGAAAAAATATCACTGCAGTAAAACCCAAATAATCTCTGTTCTGATTCATGCAGAAAGTTATGCAGTGCAGGAAAAGTAATTGTCACTCAGACACACACAAATCTCGTGACGCATACTGAAACGTATTTTCAGCAGAGGCTGTTTCTCCCATCCCTTGATACGTAGACACTAGCCAATTGTCAAATGACAAAATAAATAAATATTGTGTAACAGAAAGAACCTCCGTGATTTTAGTCCGCAAGGGAACAATACCGACCGAGCGACCGCCGCTTGTCGGCGAAGTTAGTGACAACTTTAGCGGATAGAGGATGTCGCGTGGTCAGAGCAACGGATCCCCAAGGCTGTTAATCTCGGTTTTCTAGACCGGAGCCGCTATTTCCTTGAAATAGCTCCTCAATTATCCTCACGAGGCTGAGTGGACCCCGCTCCAGACCCACTACTTCTCAGAAAATCTGGTAACGCCGGGAATCGAACCCGGACCTCTGGATCTGTAGCCAGGAACGCTGACCACTACACCACAGAGGCGGTCATTATGTAACAATAATAATAATAATGGATTGAATTTGAATATAAAACGTTCCCTATACGTCTAGCGAGACTAAATTGCGTAAGCTACGATTTCACGCAACTGTCCCAAACTGTCACAGAGTTTGTCTTCATGTTACGGAGCATTTTCTAGCACGCGAATGTTGGAAATCGAGCCCTTACACAAGCCATGTGCCCCCAAGCCATTCGTCCGTCTGTACCGAGCACTGTTGCTCCCTGTAGTGACGATGTGGGGCATTGGAGAGATCAAAGTGACCTGCTGTAACACAATTCATGCCCTAAAACCAGTGCCAAATTGTAACTGACTTTAGGTAAGTTTATATAGAATTTTCCCATCGTTAGCAAAGAAAAACATGTGGAACTATACTCAGTTCACAATGTCTGTGGAGTGGATGTGAACACGAACAGACCATCGGCTGCGACAAGCGGGAAACTTAATTCACGTTGGGAAGAAAATTCTATCGGATGAGTTGTGAAATTATGAAAGTCACTTATTAAAACTAACAACTAATCAATGTCTTAAAGAGACTAAAACGTTTAAACTGCTTCACTATACTCGTTTTGTGTTGTTTTACTGATTTCCTGACAGTGGGACATTGTGCTTTCAGAACCTCAGACATTTCGAGAGCTTTTGTGGTTGGTGACCAATAAGAGGCCAGTATTTCTAGCTATTTGCTTGGCAGGCGTTAGGTTCACTCCATATGCCTCATTTAATTCTTATGCTCATATCTTATCTCCTTTAATATTAATACGGGCCTAATATTAACTCTCTATTCATGTCCGAGTAACGGTTAGTCGCTGGCTTCCCACCGCGGCGGCCCGGTTTCGATCCCGGTTCTAGTCAATTGGGATTTGTGGTAGACAAAGTGGCTCTGGGGCGGGTTTTCTCCGAGTACTTCGGTTTCCCCCGCCAATCTTCATTCCACCAAATTCTCCATTATCATAATCATCTGGAGCAGGTACAACAGGCCAATCAGTGGCCACCATGCCGAGTGGACCCAGTTGGATTCAAACCCCCCCCCCACTAAGCGAAACACTAGATGGCCTTTAAAACTTTAGTCGGAATATCCCAGAGAAATATATAATGCTGGAAACCCACTCATATATTTTGAGACTAATAATGTTTTTTTAATATATATTGTGGAGTGTATATAAAAACACTGATATTGTATTTATAAAAGTATTATAGAGACATGTTTAATAAAGGGAAATTCGTACAAGAAATGATAAGACATTTTACTGTGGAGAATAAAGAACACAAATTTGTTCGGAGGATCCCAGGCTTCGTTCATCATGAAATCCTGACTTAAGTTTTGAAATCAGCCCACTTATACGTCAACAAACATCTTCATTATTTCCAAAAACAGTGCGAGTGTTGCCTTCTTATTGTCCAATCCAAGAGCGACACGTTCTGTGAGTCACAAGAAATGAATGAGTTATAAGATGACCTATATTGACACTGCACTGGTCTTATCTGATTACGTTTAATTCCATTAAATTACAGTTAGATCTTCTGGGTTACATATTTTTCAAAGAGCTTTGCTACAAAAATATATTGTTCTGTATTTAAGTAGGGAAGAGTGATCCTTGTTTGATTTCTGCAACAAAATAATTTTTAAAAAAATCCAGTGTGTCCAGAAGTTGTGTTATTCCTCACAGATTGCTGCAAGGAACTGAAGGGCGACAGAGGAAGTTCTTCAAGAAGATATTTCTTGTATACCATCACATTCACCAGCTTACGGAATTCAACATGTCGGATTTCGTGGTGATTTATTTCTTTTACCGACAGTACAGAAGATGTACTTATGTAATTACGAGCGGTATCATCGGTAATTTTAGATAAATTGAAGTTTCGATCCGAGTTTGCCGTAACAATTCCTGCAAGGTGTCCGTGAGTAAATTGTTCTTCATCTTTTCTTCTTCAGAAACTGCGGATTTCTTGCTCAGTTGGAAAGGAAGATTATTTCTAATGTCATATGGTAAAATTTTTGTGTGCCTCGCATATTACCTGTGCCTTGACCATGTGGTATCTGATGCCACTTGTTGCGGAATTGATTTCTGTTGGCCGTATATATTTGTAACTTCAGGGCGTCTATACAGAGCGTTTGGCTGTATGTCCTCTCCCAAAATGTCAGTATTTCATTTCTTTCTTGAATTAACAGGCGTGCGGAGGGATATGTCACAACAAATTGAGGTGAACAAAGAAAAATTGGAGCTTTGTAATGGTTTGTCTGCCTACGAGTCTGGGAAGTGTTTTGCAGTGACAGTCTTGCCATCTGTCGACAAATATGTAGATACTGGTCACTCCACGCACGCACTGAAAGCACAATTGCGTGCTGGCCTTCCATCTTTCAATGGAATGTGGAATTAAAGAGTATTTGATCCCGCCACACGGGTTGCAAAAGCATACTGATCTGCCATCTATGAGGAAAGTATGGAATTTATTTGGATTGAAGTTTCCTAACAAGTTAGAATCCATTAACAAATGAAATCAACTTGGTTTAATTAATCCAGATCCGTTTTATGCATCTATATGCATGATTGTACGGAATATTTATGGTTTCGGCAGAATTGGTATATTATCTTCTCGGGTGTTATGCCGTGTAGTTTGCGTGAAATGAACCAGCGTTTCGCAGGAACATGCTAGCCATCTTTTGCGTCGAGAATTATGACAAGAAACCACATAAACTACGGCTTTGCCTCCCACCTGATTTTTGCGTGGCTTATTCAATCTTGACCATCTGACGATCGTACCAACATATTCCCTCAGTGACATACTAATCTATACAGCGTTACAACCTACAACATCCCACACTTAACGGCTAATTTAATTCCTTGATGCACAAACTATACTAAAGATTGCATATCCAACTGGTTGCTGCTGTATGAAATGTAGTAAAATGTGGTCGTTTAAATTAAATTATTGGACATTGCCATACAAGTTCCATAATCACACCACCATTTTCAAATCATCATCGTGCGACAGTATTACCAATCTTTTGTAGAACCAGAAATTCCAAGGTACGATAAACGAGAATCGCTGAACTTACGTTCGACTGGTTGCGTGAAGACCTAAACAAGACCACCCACTTTTTAGAACACTTCACAGGTCCGTAGTGACGTAAAATCATCCGATATGAGACTTGCGTTTCATTGGTTGCTTCTGTGTATGGTGATCAGTTATGAATTATCATGGCGAATTCAGGAGTTTGGTCGAACTCCCAGCAGCAAGAAATGTCGGAGTTTGACAATGGAGATACTTTTCCTACGGGAGATGGATTTAATCTTGCTGAACTAAGTGGTTTGGACGGTACGTATGACAACGTTAGTGTGCATTTACTCTAATGAAAGAAGACATTTTTCAAATGTACGCCCACGTTTGCTGTTCGTCTGCTAGGAATGTGTAACAATTTTATACGTATATGCGATATTTAAAGCCTACTAATGCAAATTTCCCTAGAGGATCATCGAATCTAGTTTTTACGTGTCGTCGAAAGATAGTGATTCCATTATAGTAATAGTATTCGTGTTTTTTGTTTGGATTTTATCATGCGTGCCATAACCTTTCAGCCCCAGTATATATCAGTGTCAGATGGTTTGTGTTGTTGTATCTTAATTTATGCTGTTGTTATATATTACGAAGGTATTGCTGTATAAACTGTGAGAAGCTGTTAATAAATATTTGCTTGTTATATTATTATTGTTGTTATGTGCAATTGAAGTGATTGTGGAATCGTGCTGTTGCGAGAAAAATTCTCCATTAAACAATGAATGAATGTATAAGGGTTGGGCCTTCTTGGCCCCAATAAACAAACTACACGTGCAGTGTACCCGAAACATAGTTGAGAGTGTCATCATCAGATTGTAACATAACAATAGAAAAGTTAATAGGTTTGATTTTCAACTTACATTGGGAACCAAAATTGCGAAATTGGAGGTCTTATTAAACACAGTGGTTGCCTGTGCATGGCGTGACATCTCCTCAAAGAGGTTTTAGGCTGAGTGTATGCTGAGGCAATACAGAAATGAAATAAAGACATTCGGTCTTAAATCATAAAGGATGTGTTTGGAAATAGTGACATAAATGAAACACCCAAGAAGCCTGAAAAGTAATAAGCAAGTGATATGTAAGGAAAGTTTTATTATTTATTAACATAACATAATTAACAAATTATGTATATTGGTAATGTTCAGACTAACTACATGGAACTGAGTACTTGAGAAGCCACCAGTTGTGCAGCTACTCAAGAACTTCCCAGCATTTTGTGGAATCCGAAGGTTCATTACTGTATTCACTCCCACCACTGGTCCTTATTCAGAGCCAGATCAATCCAGTCCACACCACCCAATCCTGTCCCTGTAAGATCCATTTTAATATCATCAACCCACCGACATATTGGTCTTCCTTGTGGTCTCTTTTCTTCTGGCTCTCCCACCCATAGCATGTGTGTTCATCTTCTCCCAATTCTTGCTACATTCCCTGCCCATGTCATCTTCCCTGACTTGATCATTGTGATTATACTTGGCATACTCATTATGCAGTTTTGTAAGGGGATGACAATTGCTGGCCCAGTGAATGTTCTAGTTTAAAGAGATATTGTTGATAAATCACAGCAATTATATCCAGACTGGTGATTTATGTGTGCAGAAAAATCAGTGTATTACTACGTTGGTATTGTGGTCACAGTGTTTGCTTGTAAATTAAAAGGTGGCTTCATTGGTGCCTCCCTATTTTGTGATACTCCACATTTTCATAAACACAATGACATATTTAGGTCTGTCATGGATCATGACCAATATCCATGAACTTTCTATATGTAACAATATAAAAGTGGAGTCTCTAAAGAGTGTTATATAAATGTAGCTTAATTATCTATGTGAAATGGAGTTTCAGAGAGGTTGATAATCAACTCTCCTAGTCAGACATCCCACTTTTCATGGAAACTTATGGTTCATTACCAATTCCACATGCAACCCCCACCACAGGACTCTTTTAGTTTGCAGTTGTACTTTGAAGGTAAAGAAAAGCTCAGGTATTCAGGTGTTTACCAGTCAATAAATTAATTAGCAATTAGAGCATTGTTTTTGGTCATGTGTCACAATTAAGCTGCTGTTACAAAGTCGCTGCTTGTTGGTGAAGTTTAGTGTCAACTTTTGTGGATAGAGGGGATCGTATGGTCAGCGTAACGAATCCCCACGGTTGTTAATTTCGGTTTTCTAGACCAGAGCTACTATTTCCTTGAAATAGCTCCTCAATTAGCATCACGAGGCTGAGTGGATCCCGTTCCAGACCCATACTTCTCAGAAAATCTGTTAGCGGCGGGAATCGAACAACCCAGACCTCTGGATCTGTAGCCAGGAATGCTGACCACTAGACCACCCAAACCTTAACACTGATTTTTTTTCCTGAGTAATTTTTATATCATTGTCCCATATGGAATTGCTTATTGCAACTGATACTGAAAGTAGGTTTTCTTTTTCTTACAGATTTGATAACGAACTGCGAGAATGAGTTATTCTCCAAAAGCAGCAACTTCTTTACTGATGAAACTCTCCTCTCTCAGCTTGCAGAAGAACCTTTGGAAATGGATGATGATGTTTCATTTGATTTCCTTAATTTGCCCAACACACTTGAGTGTATCATGCAGCCACATCCACCACAACCTCAACCACAGCCACCAGTACCTCCACCACCATCTCAGCCACCACTACAACAGCACCAAAAGCTCCAACAAAACCTTCAGCATCACTTATCAAACATGTTCTGTACAACCTCAACCACACTTCCGCAAGTCAAGCAGAAATCTAATGTCCTCATACCTTCACAAGAACTTATATCTTCAGTACCATCCCATATTGTATCATCATCATCACTTACATCTCTAACTTCCCCCCAGAATACTCAAGAAAGTAATGTTATACCTTCCTCAATGCAACATAGGGTTGCAGCACCTGTATGTACTGTTACACAGAGTCCAACAGCCATTTTGCTTCATTCAACTGGAGTAACACAGTCAGCACAGCAGCAAAATCAAAATCCTTCTCTTACGCTTGGAAGCCTTCAGACATCGATACCAGGTCAGCAGCAGATAAACCTCCAGCCTGCTCCTGCTGCAACAGCATTGCAGAATTCACACATCCAATTACAGCTGCAAGCTTTGAAACACAGGCAGCAAAGTATCAAACATTCATCTGCCCAGAATCAACTGTTGACATTACAGAGGATGAGGCAGCTGCCGGCAGATAATATGCAACAGGTTGGTACACCAGTCTCTGTGGTCACCTTATGAGGAACTCTCTCAGCCCTTGATAGTTCAACAGCAGGCATCAGAAAGGTTGATCACCGTGACATATGACATGACTCTTCTGCCCTCACAAATACCATTTTTTTTTTTAATTTTTATTCAAAAATATCCATTGCTACCCTGTCAGATTTTACCTGGAAATGGCAATGACAGATGACACAAGGTTCACAAAATATCAAGACAATATTAGGAGGTGTTCGTTTTTCAATTCAGAACTATTGCCTCGTATGAAGAAATAATTATTTTTCATTTTGTTGCATAGGGTTTAGAAATACTTTATTAAAACTTACATATAAGTAAACTGTATCTGTTACAAGTACTGTGTTTTTGGACATTATCCATCATCCTGTCTATTTTATAAAAAACCGTCCTGTTTATTTTTCAAAATAATGTTTCGGAGACTGGATTCTGTCTCTGTCCTCTACTCAGTTGGGTCCAATAGATAGAGCTAGTCCCTATCTCTTGACACCTACGCCAGTTTAAAAAATGGGTACGTAAATCAAACACGACAGAAACCATCTGTGAGAGGTAAGAAAATATTCAGTTATTGAAACTCCACACATACAGGGCCTTGCACCAGAGAAGTATCTCGAATGAAATCATTGCCAGAGAGAGACAGTACTTCCTATGGTACCAACACAAGGAAAATAAATATTTTCCACTCTTTTTTTTTTTTTTAAGAAAATAGGAAGATGGATAATGTCCAAAAACATAAGAAACATTGTGTTTTGAAAAATAAACATGACAGTTTTTTAGAAAATAGACAGGATGATGGATAATGTCCAAAAACATAATACTTGTAGCAATGTACCATCGTCACAAACTTTTACGCCTGTTACTTCATAAGTAAGCAATTTATACTACATCCGGTCGTCTTACCGCCCTTTTCTCCACCTCCTACCGTCTACTTCTTCTTGCTCACACGCTGGGTCGCCTCTAGTAGGTTCTTTTTTCTTGTTGCTAAATATCTCAGGGTTATTTTAAAAGGAGGGGGTTTTGTTGTTTTGGTAGAGCTGAGTACCTCTTATCTCAGAGCCTTGAACGGGCCACAACTCAGAAAGGAATAAATTAACACCACAAATCACAAGCACATCTCAAGTTTGGACGAATTATATTGAACACTTGTTTAATCACTTTTGATACAGTTTCAATGTCAGTAACCTTTATGTCTAACTGCTTTGGAGCCAGATGTATAACTTTTTGCGGTTGATTCTAACGACTCCAGTTTCCGAATTTACATCTGTTTCTATCACCTCCCGGTTTCCGAATTTACGTCTGTTTCTCACGAGTCCCCCTTTCCGACTGTACGTCTGATTCCTTCTACTCCCGTTTGCAGAATTTACGTCTATTTCTCACGACCCCTGGTTTCAGAATTTACATCTGTTTCTATCACCTCCCGTTTGCAGACTTTACGTCTGATTCCTTCTACTCCCGTTTGCAGAATGATGCTAAGACATGACGCTTCCTCAAACCTTCAATTCCTGCTTTCACCAGCGTCACTGCTCTGTCACACCCTTAAATTTTAGTGATTGGCTAATTTTGAAAAATAGGAGTATCTTAATTAGATATTCCTCCACTCCGCTTAAAGCTTACAAGCGTTTAAGGATTTTTGACTCCAACGTATTTCTGTTAGAAAGTGACAAATGCTTACGCGTCGCTTGGGCCCTAAAAACTTCACTCTTTTTAAGTTATGGCATGCACAAACTGCCAAGTATAGAATTTACAAAAGATTTCTTTACCCTATTCTTTAACGCAGCTTTCCACTAATAAACCTTTGAAGGGTGTCTTCCTGTCTCTTGTTGTAAGCTTGAGAAATCGCTTTCTCTTACATACAAGAATTGACCATGTTTCACTACCCTTGTTCACTGCATTTCATTTTGAACAATTAAGCTTCCAAATTAATAAAGTTGATTACATAAAAAAAATTGCGTAGCAATGGAACGGTTACAGTCGCATTTCACAGCAGGCAGAAGCGCTAGTCATCTAATGGATAACGTGCCAGTAGAATAAATAACGGAGGCTGCAGTGGATTTCCCATGTTGCATGGGGGGGGGGAAGAAATATGAAACGCGTTAAATATTATGGTGAAGAACTCACTCAGAAATAAATTGTTTGGAAAACTGAAGAAGAAATGACACTGTTGTGTAATGTTTGATGATTTGATTTTGAACTATCAGGATTGTATCCAGTAGCATGTTTTGGTGTTGGTAATAGTTACCAGGGAATTAATTATTCCATTTTTTTAGTGTTTAACTTTGTAACAGTGAGATTCTGTCACGCACTTGAGGAATGATAGTTTTGTAATAGTGGTTTTCTTTGGCTGAAATTTTATGTTTGTGCCAGGTTTTAGTACAGGCTCAGCTGCTTAAGTCAGAGCCACAGCTGAGTCCTGCTGCTGTCATATATACGACAGCTCCAGTGACGAGTGTCACAGTGACACCTAGTGGCAATGCAACGCCTGCACCAGCTTCCATTCACACCCTTGTTAACACTGCGCATGGTGCAATTCTGGCTACTGGTGAGTCCAGGCAAGGAAGTAAAGTCCATTGGAGTTTCTTAAGATTTTTTGTCATTTATTGATCAGTCCGTAAAGCTGTAAACCCATTATATTATTCAATTACTTTCTTTTAAGGTTAGAATGATACGGAAGAGTTGAAAGGTGAAGTTGTCCCTATACTTAACTAATTAAGGACTACACCATGAAGGCGTATAAGGGAGTGGATGTATAGATCCACAGTTTCTTGACCTTGGCACTAGTTGGAGGTGAGTGGCCAGCTTCACGCCCCAGCCACTTTACCCTCGGGGAAAGAACCCCTGGTACCCATTAGATAAGATGCTGTGTAGGCCCCAGAGCTGGTCTGGACGACGTGGAGAAGAGAAAATTCTTCCCCCTACTGAGACTCGAACTCTGACCCCTTGATCGTCCAGCCCATAGCCAGCCACTATACCGACTACACTATCTCAGCTCCAACTTATACATGTATATAAGTAAAAAGTAAAGTTGTCCCTGTGCTTAACTAATTAAGGACTACGCCATGAAGGCGTATGGGTGAGCGGATGTATAGATCCACAATTTCTTGACCTTGGCATTAGCTGGAGGTGAGTGGTCAGCTTCATGCCCAGCCACTTTACCCCCAGGGAAAGAACCCCTGGTACCCATTGGATAGGAGGCTGGGTGGACCCCATATCCAGTCTAGACGACATGGAGAAGAGAAAATTCTTGACCCTACTAGGACTCCAACTCCGACCCCTCGGTTGTCCAACCCTTAGCCAGTTGCTATATGGACTGTGTTCATAATGCTATCAATATTTATTGTGTGTACTCCTTTTTTCTTTAATAGAAATTTGAAAGAGTTTCATTTGGACATAATGTAAGGTAGGAGATATAGTTGACTGTACATTCATCTGTAATCTGTCAAGAGACAGGTCCACAGTCTCTTCCAAAACAGTTCCTCCACATGACGCGATCTAGAGCTTTCTCCTTCAAATGAAAATATCCTCTTCTGTCCCCAAGGTCATCCAGCATCTTCTTATGTCTTCTTCCTCGTATTCTGGTCACTTTTATCCGCCCCTCTATCTTTCCTTCAATAACTTCTTTTAGAAGGCCGTTACCGCGTAAGATATGACCAATCCAATTAGCCTTCCATATTCTTATTTCGTGTAGGATATTCCTCTTCTCACTGACTCTAAATAACACTTCTTCATTTCTCACATAATTGGCCCAACTGATCTAGTTAGATCAACACTTCCCCACCAGTGCTAGATTTTGTTTATATCCCTCAGTATTGGAGATGAAACACACAGACTGAGAGAGGTATGTGACTTCAGCATTACGCACTCATTTTATGTGATTCATGAAGAGTACGTAACAGTGGCCATGATGAAATTAGGGTTCTGAAGAATTAAACATAATGGGTTTATTTGAGATTTGAGTTTCTCATGCCAGTCATTATGTGGGGTTTTAACTGTGTGTAGTTCAGTATAGAGGTAGGTACCAGGAAGATGGAGGCGGTATGTTCTTTGAATATTATTGTGTATGTACAAACTACACAATATCACATCCCAGGAGACAATTATCACTGTGACATGTTTAATATACAGATTTGTTTATCTTTATTTAAGTCTGGAACATGTCGAATGAGATATAACCTTGAAGAGTTCTGTCTTCTGGGATATAACACTATGTAGTCCATTAAAAGTTGATCATCTTTCAGAGGAACATCTTGTCTCCATCTTCAGGGTCGAAGAATACGCCAAGTAAGAAACTAGTATGAATGCAGGCGACAAGCACAGCCTGCGTGAAATTCCTACCGTATGTCACTTTGTTTGATTTCAGGATTTTCATTTTTTCTATAGGTCCTCACCACCTCTGTGGTCTAGTGGTCAGAGTTCCTGGTTACAGATCCACAGGTCTGGGTTCGATTCCTGGCACTACTAGAATTTCTGAGAAGTAGTGGGTCTGGAATGGGGTCCACTCAGCTTCGTGGGGATATTTGAGGGGCTATTTCTAGGAAATAGCTGCTCTGGTCTAGAAGACCGAGGTTAACGGCTGTGGGAATCCATTGCACTGACCACGTGACACAGTCTATCCATTAAATTTCACACTAACTAGTGGTCAAAGTTCCTGGCTACAGATCCACAGGTCTGGGTTCGATTCCTGGCACTACTAGAATTTCTAAGAAGTAGTGGGTCTGGAACGGGGTCCACTCAGCTTCGTGAGGATATTTGAGGGGCTATTTCAAGGAAATAGCTGCTCTGGTCTAGAAGACCGAGGTTAACGGCTGTGGGAATCCATTGCGCTGACCACGCGACACCCTCTATCCATTAAATTTCGCACTAACTTCACCGCTCGGTTGGTATAGTTCGCTTGCAGACTACAGGCCATGGAGTTTAGTTTAGTTTTAGTTTCTTATAGGTCCTCTTTCTTTCAGTTGTAAGAACATTTACTTGAATATTGTTTTAATTTGGTAGGTATACCACTTGTGTTGGATGCAGATAAGCTACCTATCAACAGAATCACAGCAATTGCACCACCGTTAAGGGAACCCAAGGTGAAAGAAGGAAAAAGAAGTGCACATAACGCTATTGAGCGTCGTTATAGAACTAGTATTAATGACAAAATAGTTGAGCTCAAGAATATGGTTGTTGGAAATGATGCAAAGGTATGTGACAGTTTATTTTTTCAATATCTAGTAAGTAAAAAAAGGTAAAGCTATCCCTGTAACAAGCCGTGAAGGCCCATAGGGTTGTGAGATGTTGAGGGTACCACATTATCTAGACAATCAGCTCAAAGACGGTGGTAAGGTTGTCAGCCATACGCGCCGGCCGCACTTTACTTCCCAGGAAAATTATGTAGTTAATTCATGGTAATCATTTCTGTTAGAGGCTGAGTCAACCCCAAGGCCATAGTGCGGCTGGAAGGATTAGGTCAATTGAAAAAAAATCCAATGACATCATCCAGACTTGAACCAGCGACCTTCCGGCTTGTAGCATAATGCCTCAACCAACTATATCGCGTGCCTCATCAATATATACTTTTTACAGTTTGTATTTTGTAAATATATTCATCATATAAGTGCTGACTCTGAGATATCTTGTGTGGAGATCCTTTATCTTTCTGACTTATATATGTTGTTTCATGTTGCCTGTGCAAATCGTTAGAAATTGAATACTAAATTGAGCGTTAACTGTGAAGATACCAAAAGCATTTTTTTTCTTTCCTTTTCTTTTTTTCTTTTTAAAACTTGTTTGGAATGTATTAAAATGTAAAATACAGCAGTAACGTGTTTCGTCTCATCTGTTGTTACTCAACGGCTTTCTGTTGTTCATCGCCGGGGAAACGTGTTCGTTGTTTTGACATTGTCTACGCAACGGCCCACTGTTATTGCGTTACTATGGAACTATCTACTCCAAACCCATTACAATATTATGACTGCAACTTCGTTTACTTTTTCTTAATAGAAGAGGACAGTCTGATGTACTGCTGTGTATTAATAAGAAAGAAACATGGGTTATCGAGTCAATTTTTACAGTATTGTGATATCCAGAAGTATAGTTTGGTAGAAAAATTGAATTTTTGTTTCAGCTTAACAAATCTGCCATCTTGCGGAAAGCTATTGATTACATCCGCTATCTGCAGAATTCAAACGCCAAACTAAAACAGGAAAATATGACTTTAAAAATGGCAGCTCAGAAGCCATTAAAGGAACTTTTGACAGATCCAGTAACTACAGCAGATATGGTGAAAGATGAGTGTTCAGGACCTATTACACCCCCTCATTCTGATGAATCTTCACCATCGTCGTCACCTCCACACTCAGACAGCTCCTTGCCACCATCACCTGAAGATCCTTACAGTGCTGAGGTATTTGCTTTAAGTTGGAGAGAAGAACACGTATTTTCAATTCCATTCTTTGCTTTGTTTTTCCAGTATCTAATTGCATTTGTTTTTTGTATTTATTACAGATCTAAATATATTGTTGGGAAGTTGTCATGCTACACACAGTCTATATTTTATTAGATATTCACCATGCTGAAAAATGTTTCATATATATTTTATCGTATTTTAATGAGATATTATATCATGTATGCTAAGCCAATTTTAGGAAATCAACATTTGATTGACCTTCACGTGAAGTTTGCCAGTGCGAAACAAAATCAAATGGACTCCAGTAGCAAATTTGTATGGTGTTGCTACGATTGGTAGAAATGAGTAAGCTGAAAATACAGGATGTAGGAGTCGAATTGTATTGTTTGGAAACATAGTTAGGAAGCGGGATGGTTACCTCCCTACTGTTGCCATTACAAAATCAGCTTAATCCATGTGGTCAGAAGTAAAATTGTTTTTGATTGTTTCATTCTGGTCCATCACACTAACGATATTACAAATGATAAAACAACTCCGACCAGTGTGACTGTTGAAGCTTTTACTGCTTCACTTCTTAGCACCCTAATATGTTTCGGTCCCTATAGACCATCATCGGAGGGAACATCAATACTTTTAGAAACTACTATTACAACAACACAACAAACATAGAACGACAACAAGAACTACCTTCCCAAGAAAGACAGGCAGCACAAGTTCGGCCCCGTCAAGAAAAATGAAAGAACAAGGGACACGAACATATTTGGTTAAAGAATTTTAACTTAAATAACAAAAAGTTTTTTAAAAAACTTTAATGTATCAAGGACAGTTGCTGTAGTTGTAAGAAATTTGGATTTTGTGTAAAGTGTATATTACAGATATTGTATATTTATGTATTTTAAAAATCAAAACACCCAATGTAATAGTAGTTTCTAAAAGTATTGATGTTCCCTCCAATGATGGTCTATAGGGACCGAAACATGTTAGAGTGCTAAGAAGTGAAGTAGTAAAAGCTTCAACAGTCACACTGGACGGAATTGTTCTATCATTTGTAATATTTAAAATTGTATTTAGCAGAGAACAACTCCTTCAAATTTTCAGACAATGAATGGCCGGCCCAGAAGGCAGTAGAGAGCATACAAACTTGAGACTAGACACTGTGTAGACTGTATGAAATGCACAGAAACATTTTTAGAGGGAGAATACCAGAGACAGTGTGTTGGAACCTGTCATCATAAACCTCAGGATATTTAATCCTGAAAACTGCAGCCTCACTGCTGAAGATGAATATAGAGTATTTTTTTCTCTCTCTCTTCTTGCTCCCACTTTATAGCACAGGGCTGATTTCTCAATTTCATTGATCAGTCATTTGTTCGGCCCTCTTAAACATCATCTTTCGGCTGAACATTTTCCCGACGATGAAGCTGTAGAAAGGGAAGTCACCGCCTGGTTCCCACAGCAGCCCAAAGAATTTGATGCTGCTGGTTTTCAGGGGCTTGTGAAATGATGGGACAAGTGCCTCAGTGTACAGGGAGATTATGTTGAGAAATAAAAGCATTTTTCAAATCAGTACTCTTATTTGTTTAAGTTCTATATCCATTTGTAACTTATTTATTGACTTACCTACGTATATTTTCAGATGGACATAAAGGAGGAAGATGATGATATTATTAGTGTCAACTTATCCAAGGGGATGTTGGATCATTCAAGGATGGCCCTTTGTATATTCATGCTTGCCGTGATTACATTCAATCCATTTGGAATGATTCTAAACAAATTTGTAGACTCTAGCAAAGACTACTCAGCTACAATTATTGAAGGAAGGACTCTACAGAATTTTGACAGTAAGTGATGAAAGATTTTATTTCATTTGATCTCTCTGAGGTGTGTAGGTTATCAGCTGTGTAGGTTGCTTAGTTGTCTAATGTTCAGTGAAAGGAGAGCATGATTGTGAATTGTGAAATTTAGGTAGTTGTGGCCCATTTCAAGATAGCATAAGTATAAGAGCCATGAAGTTGCCAGTCCCGTTTTTATTACATTTTTGTTTAAATTTGTTTACCTTTATAAATAATACTAAAACTGGTTGGTTGGTTTCCAATGGCTGCATTTGGGATCATTTAACCCATTTTGCTTCTTGCTTCCCAATGGAAAGCACTCAAGTTCTTGCTTTGTTGCATCTCCTTGTTAAGATTAGGGCATTGAAGGTGTTCCTTTCCCATAGTTGATCCTGGCAAGTTGCGCAGTGTACATTATTCCTATCTTACAAAGATGTGCTGCAAGACAGTCATGTCCTGTATTCAGTCAAAAATTTGCAACAGCTTCTTTTCTGGGTTTCTTGCTGTTGATTTCCCAAAGTTTTCCTATTTCTGACCATTTCTTGTTGTATGGTTCTTTGTTGATGGTATGGAGTATTTCTCTACTTGTTTTAGTTTTGATTTTGTTAGCTAGCATGTGGGCACTTAAGATTTTATTTTGACGATGCATTCTTGTGCCCTTCTTTGCCAGTTCATCAGCAGTATTGTTTCCATTGATGCCAACATGTGATGGTATCCATGGTATGTTATTTTTTTGTGTTTTCCAGTAGTTTTATTAAATTTTTGCTGCAATATTGACAGGTTCAGAGTCTGGGATTTGGCACTGGGTAGGATCATCACTGTTCCTGTGGATATTCAACTCCATACTTCTTCTGAGCTGCCTCATCAAGTTGTTTGTGTATGGGGATCCAGTAATACAAGCCAAGTCAAAAGAATCTGTCACATTTTTTAGGCATCGGAGGCAAGCTGATTTTGACTTGTCGAAGGTATGGCAGTATCTAATAGTTAGTGCATGTAACCCTTTTCAGTGTCAGTTTCCGAAGACCCTATGCACAAAAAACTGTTAGAATTTTCAATCCAGTTTGATGAGGAATGAAAGACATTTATATTTTCTTGAACTGCTGAGATGGTTTTCTGCATTTTTATTACAAATCTTGTGGAGAAACCCGAGCCTCTGATTTCTCATGCAGTGGAAGATGTGCAGAAGAGGTTTCATGCATGGGCCACTATAGCCCTCTCTTAATCATCCAACAAGCAGTTCACATTAAAGTACCTCGTGCTAATTGAAATGAGTCTAATATTAAATTATATGTAATGTAGTCTAGTGGTCAGAGTTCCTGGCTACAGATCCAGAGGTCCTGGATTCGATTCCCGGTGCTACCAGGTTTTCTGAGAAGTAGTGGGTCTGGAACAGGGTCCACTCAGCCTCGTGAGGATAATTGAGGAGCTATTTCAAGGAAATGGCGGCTCCGGTATAGAAAACCGAAATTAACGGCATGGGGAATCGTTGTGCTGACCACGTGACACCCTCTATTCACTTAAGTTGGCACTAACTTCACTGACAAGCGGCGGTCACTCGGTCGGTATAGTTTGCTTACGGACTAAAACCACGAATTTTGTTTGTAATGAGAAATACCTGTATTTGGAAACATGATGACAATATTTGTGTTTAATTTATGTAAAATAGCGGCGGAGGGAAGAAAATTTGCATCAGAGATATTCTCCATTATATTTAGTGTTCGTGTGATGTTCTTAATATTTAAGTTGAATAACTTCATGATAAGGCCACTTTACCCCTGGGAACAGAGGGTCTAGTATCCATTACATAAGATTATAAGGCCTCCAGATGCAGTCTTGTCATGGTAGTGAAGATATTAATAAGCTATTATGGATGGAAATCCTGTGATCCACAGAAGAAGTTGTAATAAGAACCATGGTCAGGATTCTGTTTTACTTATGGAATTGTGAAGGAATGAGACCATAAAATTCATGTGGGAATTTGCAGGGTGACCTTGCAGCTGGCAACCAAGAACTAAGGCGATGCCTGCAAGCTTTTGGTCGGTCTTTGCCAGCGTCAAAACTGGAATTGCTGTCATCTACAGTGTGGCATATAATACGTCAAATTTTGCACAGAGTGTGGATTGGACGGTGGCTGGCAAAATATGCTGGAGGTTTCTTTGTGGACAGGTTGGTACTAAATTAATTTAAAGAAATTTCCTCTCTCTGCTGAGTGTGCCAATTTCCTTGCAAAGGAATGAATTGCATTAGTTTCAGTTATATGGGGACCTGGTGATCACTGGGGAAGACTTTGTGCCCAGGGTCTTCAGTCTGATGCTATGTGGATCCAGTTTAGATTTATTTGCCCATGTTCATCCCATCCCTCACTTTTTTTTATGGTACGAATTTTGGGAAATACATGCCCTCCTCACCCCCCTCTTCTGGCTGCCTCCCTGCTGGTGGTGGGGATATGGTTAAGCTATCTGTTCCATCTTCATCGTCAGTAAAAAGGTCGCAAACGGAAGTAAAATAGCTGTAATGGACATAATAGGTTTTCTATGTCTATCACTAGGTAGCAGCACAGTCCAGCGTCATAACAGTCTAAGTAGTAGATGCACGTGCACATGTTCAGAGGTTGGTTTCAGTAGTCAAAATGGCGACTGTGCTTGAGTAGTGTATTACTGAAGAGCAGCATTATGTCATGCATTTTTATGAGAAAAAGGACTCAGTGCAAACTGTATTCATAAAGTAATGTTTCCATTCAACATCCATGTATTTGTTGTCTGTCAATATTTCAACACTTGTTTTTCACCACATTAATTTTAATTTAACGTTTAACACATGGACATTACATATTTCGGCCCCAAACGGCCATCTTCAGGTATCTTGATATGTTACAAATATTATATTAAATTATGTTAAAACTGCTACACTGTATTAGTCCATGGTGAAATCACATGCTTTAGTTCCCTTTACAAGGTAAAACAAGATAAAAATCCAGTAAAACTTCTGTTAAACCCTCGTTATTTTGGTGCATTCTATTTCACCTCACAAGGGTTGTGGTCCGCTTGTTTATAAATGTATGCTTGTCCCAGGTGTTTTGTTTCGGCGGCTTGTTGTTCACGTTCAATAGCCTACTTTTCTATAATGTCTGTAATACGCCCTGTTTTACGTGTATCTCCACAGCATGTGGCGTTTTCTTTACTAGTTTCCAGCCTGTGGTGGGAGGTGTTTGTGTGTAAAGCAGTTCACAATTTCAGATTTCACAGTTATTAGCAGGAAGAGGTATCTCTGCCAAGTATCATCTTCCATACTCTTCTGACCTGACTCCAGCTGACTTCTGGCTGTTTCCAAAATTTGAGAGTGTGCTGAAAGGAAAGCATGTCTCGGATGCTGACAACATTAAGTCATCTGTGAAAGAAATTTTGACAGCCATTCCTGTTCAGGATTTTAAAAATTGTTTTGAACAATAGCCAAAGCACTGGGAACATTTTAAAGATTTGAAGGGGGGGGGGAGATTACTTTGAAGGATTCTAAGTTGCTAATATCTGCACCTCTTGAAATAAATTTTTTAAAAAATTTGTCTCAACTTATTTGCCTCACCTAGTATAACAAAAAATGAATACGGGTAATTAGTTTTAATTCATGAAGAAGCTGTATAATATTTCTTCCCTTTGTTTACAAATTAACTTTATGCATATGGTTGCTTGGTTCAAGCATGACAAGAAGAGAAGCGATGAATTCGGCAAAGGAACTGGCTCTGTTGTACCATCATTTGCACCAGCTTCACCTGGTGAATGGTTCAACAGATGGTCATCTTACTGGTCTCGTGTTGGCATTTAGCGCTGTCAACATGGCAGAAGCATCATCAGATCTCCTTTCACCAGAGGAGTTGGCTGATATTTATGTTGCAGCTGCTCTCCGTGTCAAGGAATCATGCCCATCATTTCTTCAGTTCTTTAACAGGTAAAAAGAAATAGTTGAATAAGGTGACCAGACTTAGAATTTTAGAAAGATGGACACACTCTTGCAAGTGTGATTGGAGGTTAGTAGTTCCTACTTGTGAGCAGGTTCACTTCTGGTGTACTTGACGTGTTAAGAGCCGAGATTGTCTGCTATCTTAATACAGTGTTGATCATAATATTAGTGTCTCTCAGTTCATTGAAGGTTTTGAGAGTATCTGTCACCCAAACATAGTAAAAAACTGTTCTTATGGTTTGTTCCTAATCACGCGCTACATGTTTTTGCTATAAAGCAAATAACTCATGTTTATAATTTTGTACAAACAAGCATGATATTGCCAACGTCAAGTTTGTAACATTAATTGCGATGACTGTGTTAACTGTCTGTCACAAGCAGACTGAAAGATGTTTATTAATGCATAAAGTGCTCCATTTTTGTGAATGTGGTGTGATAGACTTTTGGGTAAATGGCAAAATACAATTTGTTGTCCATTACAGAAAGAAACTCAGTAAATGTTATGTACAACATGTTTTCAGTTTGCTTTTCTTTCACATGTTTGTAGTAAGAGTATGAAATTAATTAATGAAATTTATTTTTATGTGAATTTCCTAATGTGGGGTCATCTTTCATTTGGGTAAATACAGTACCACACTGAAGAAGTGACCAGTGTTTTGAATTGTTATAGTGAGAAACTTCATCTACTACAGAAAATTCTCTTTATCTCAACTCTCGACATTTTTCCAAATCCTTAACCTAATCTTGTCTAGAAAGTCATCATTGCACATGCTTAATATTAACATTTTACTGTTAATGAGGTTCATATAAACTTTGTTGGCTTAGTCGAATATCATAGACACTTCTATAGTGGAATTACTTAGAGTGTGATTCACCTCATGACTCAAGGTACACGGGTTCAAACCCGGCGGAGGTCATGGAATTTTTAAGGGCAGAAAAATTCAGGAAAGAAGTCCTCCGGGAGAGACTTTAAGCTGTGGGTCCTGTGTCATAGATTTACAGCATGTAAAAGAACCTCATGTCTCTAGGAGACCTCTGAGCAAAATTATTAGGTAAAGACTTTCCCGCCCAAGTAGTTTCCAATGCCTCTGGTAGATGGGGGAAGTATCAAGGTACTGAGAGCCGACCTCGTTGGCTCAACAGGGCTGATAGCACGCACTGTCTACTGGTAGGGTATGGGGGACAGTAGAAATTAAAAGGGATGCACAATGGACCGATAACTGGTCTAAGTGCATGGGGAAACCCACCCCCTCAAATAATAATAATAATAATAGAGTGTGATTGTTGCCACTTGTATTTATTCATTTGCAGGTTCTACTTAAGTCTGGCTCGGCACGTCTGCTTTAAAAGATGTCGACGTGTACCTGTGAGGCTACAGTGGCTGTTTACTGCATATGGGCACCGGTTTTTTGTATCACATCACTGGTCATATGGCTGTGTGACTGGTTCAACATTTAGTAGTCTGGGAAACCGTGCTGATCCTCTGGCCTATGTTATGCGTGTTTATCGGGAGCACTTGCTAGATCAGGCATTGCAGACACTTTTGGCACCAGGAGGCAGACTGGATGCCTGTGATGAAGATCCATTGAGACGAACCCAGACATCAGATGTGCTCACCTATGTCCAACTGCTAATGGAAAATGCAGATGCTGCAGGAAGTCAGGGTGATGAAACACCCTCACTAATATCAAGAAACATTCAAGTGACCTGTAAGTAAATTCTAAGATTGTAAGGAAATTGTGGAAGAAATCACCAATTGTCAATAGATTTTCCGTCAAGTGCAACAGTATATATTTTGGTCACTTATTATCTCGTCTGCCTTACATGTCTGCCTTACATAATAAGTGACCAAAATATATATTGTTGCACTTGACGGAAAATCTATTGACAATTGGTGATTGATAGTGTAACGGACCAAAATGAAACAATTCAAAATTGTGGAAGAAATACCTGCACCAACCCTTCAGGCATCCAACCAAGTGCTTTGCTGTGATAGGTTGACTGAAATTTTTTTGGATATTTCTGCTTTTTATGTCTTGTTATCGTCATATATATGATGTTCTGGTGGTTTCCAAACTTGTCCACGGGTGTCAGGAGTAAATCAAAATTATGGTTGTCATTAACATCATTTTGGTATATAGCTCAGTCAGTATAGCAATGAGCTATGGGCTGGGTGGCCTGGATTTGATTCCTGACAGATGCAAAGATTGTTCTCCACAGCATCGAACCCAGCTCTGGGAGACACGACTTACTTGGAGCTCTTTCCCGAGAGGTGAAGCTGACCACTCACCTCCATCTAGTACTGAGGTCAAGAATGGTGGCACTTAAACACAGGGGCAACTTTACCTTAATAACACATTCATGGGGCCGTAGGAGAACGTATATTTTTGTATTCAGTGTGATTCTTAATAGACAGTATTTAAATTATGCTTGATGACAAATTATTGGTTGTAATTTCTTTTTACTTCCATATGTGAGATTTTCTTATGCAAAAATTGTTGTTTCCATCTCAAATGTACATACCTACTAGAATGTTTTTTACAAGGCATATGTGAAAAGATCTTGATAAGAAAAAGGGGTAAACAGTGCATTGTGAGAAAGTGGCTAGTTTTCAAATTCTGTTTACAATTCTCAAATTTTTTCCTAAATTTTCTTCTCAGACTGAAAAAATCCTTCTTAAACATACCTAATTCTTACACTAGAAAAAGGGGAATGGTTTTTTCTCCTGCAGCAGAACATCAATTGCTTGCAGATAATGGTTTTGCATCTGTACATATGAAACTGATAAACTTTCATTTAAGTATCTGTTGATTGATGACTCTTTTATTAAGTCTCCTTTCTTGAGTACTTTGTTAAGGCACTATGCTACAAGCCAGAAGGTCGTGGGTTCAATTCCCAATAAGATCATTGGATTTTTCAGTTGACATAATCGTTTCAGCTGCACTATGGCCCTGGGATCGACTCAGTCTCTAACAGAAATGAGTATCAGGAATATTCTGGGGGTAAAGGGCAGCCAGTGCATAAGGCTGACAACCTTACCGCTATCTATGAGCCGATTGCCTAGAAAATGTGTGAGCCTCAACATCTCACAACCCTATGGGCCTCCACGGCTTGTTAAAGGGGTAGCTTTACCTTTATTTGGGCAAAGAAATGGGAGAGTGGAGGTACAGCTTTGCAGGTCCTTAACTTCAGGACTAAATGGAGGTGAGAGTTCGGCTTCATACCTGCTTTACTCCCCTGGGGAAGGAGCCTGTGGTAGTTGTTGAGCACAAGGCTTGGCGAGCCACACAACTGGTCAGGATGCTGAGCAGAAGAAAACATCTTGCCCCTGTCAGGAATGGAACTGTGATTCCTCAATCGTCTGACCTACATCCTGCTGACTTGGCTACCGAGCACCCTACCATAATTATCAGTTCAGAGTTACTACCCTGCTGTGTTTGTATGGCAGATGCTGAGGATGAGCTTGCCCACTGGTGGTCAGGAGTTGTGGGTGTTGCAGCATATTGGTTATTAGGAGGTGATGCATTAGCAGAACGTCTTTACCCGAGAGTAGAAACTGTTCCTGAATGCTTGTGCAAGCAGAATGATCCTCTTACTCATGCTGTACTGGCAGCATTCGGAAGCCGCCGAGCCTCACTCAGTCTGAGCCATCATCATCCTGGAATCAACCTCAGTAGCAAGGCTGTCTTGAAGTTATGCAACACTGCTGGACAGTATCTTGATGATAGCCTCACATACAGCAGTTGCAAGCAAGCCAGCAGTACAGTACATGTAAGTAAATATAATGTAAATAGCAAGTTCTTACATTATTGTTTCCTTTACAGACTGTAGAAATATCTTCTGGAAAGTAGTGCTGTTCGGTATAGAAAACCATGATTAACAGCTATGGCAATCCGTCATGCTGACCATGCAACACCCTCTGGCACTAATTTCGCCGATAAGCAGCAGTCACTCAGTATAGTTCGCTTGCAAACTAAAGGCCACAGAGTTTTTTTATACAGTGTGGTAGAAGTTTACTGATGTTTTGGAGGATCACAGTGCCTCCATCTTCAGGGTTGAAGAGTAAGCCAAGCATGTAGCGTGCAAGAATCAGGCAACAAGTAGAACTTTTCTTGTCATCTGCTTCATCTTGCTGGATGTACCCTTCAACTGTGAAGATTGCTGGCCGCCTACTTCTGCTGACTACTTGAATGGCTTATGTTCCTCAGATCTTCCAGTGAAGTTCTACTGCGCTACACAGCATTGCATCCCTGAAGATAAATACTCTTCATTTTAGTCACATTGTTCCATTGGTGTTGACAACAGAGAAGAGGGATGCGCATGGTTGGGAGTTGAGAGGATGATACTGTGTATGTGTGTGTGTTTAATTATTGAGATTCAAATAAGAAAATAAATATTTTTCTATCTCAGTATTAACATAAAGTTTTCATTCTCAAACTTCAAGATTTTTCCGATGTCTGCTTTTGCTTCGCACACTAAGATTAAAGAGATTGTTCGTTGCCGACCCTGACAGTGTTTGGAAGTGAAGTTTTCTTCTTGGAGGTGTCGGATCTGATGAGCTGTTTGCGCCTCAAAAGCTCATGAGCCAGGTTAGCTGTACAGGTGGTATTATTGTCTGTAGAGGTACATATGGAAGTGTTTCACTGTCTTCACAATCGCAAGTAGGTCCCACCAGGTAACACAATAGCTTCTGCATTGTTCAGCGTGTTAACTGTAAGAGGCTCATGTCTGTGTCAGCTATGAACATGTCTCCTGGGTGCAGCACAGACGGACTCCTTCAGTGACTGGAAGGCAGGCTGTACTTCTGGGGACCACCAAAGAGCTTGTTTTTCCTCTGTAAGTCCAGCGAGTGGCTTCGCAATGTCAGTGAAGACGGAGATAAATTGCCTGTAGTAGGTTCATAGGCCCAGGAAGTTTCTTACTTTGTGCTTGCCCCTCAGAGTTGGCCACTTCCACTAGGCCTTCAGTTTCTCGGGGTCTGTGGTCACTCCCTCTGACATGATATGGCGCAGGTACTGCACAACCTTCTGAAATAATTAGAACTTTGCCGGATTAAGCTTTATGTGGGCCTCTCAGAGCCATTGGAATGCTTTCTCTAGGTTTACCAGGTGTTCCCAGAACATGCGGCCACTCGTGATCACGTCATCTAAACACGCTAGGCATGACTCGTGAGGCCCCTTAAGATGGTTTCCATTAGCCACTCAGACATGGCTGGAGCATTACAGAGGCCATTGACCATAAATTGCCACAACCCTTGGCCCATCAAGGAGGCTGTTTCTTCCGTATCATTGGGGTGTAGCACCACCTGCAAATAACCACTCTTCAGATCCAGGTTGGAGAAGCCAGAGTTCCCCCTTTCTTGCAGGCTCCAGCTCGTTTTACGATGGTTGATCATCCCTTTGTGTTGAACTCCTGTTCATTTGTGAGGTTTCAGCCATCCCTTCTGCCCAGTTCATGGTTGTTTTGTATCCAATGTCAGTAGTCTTGTCCTCGTTGATTTTGTGGGGCAGTCCTTTCAAAAGTGGCGAGTACTTCCACAGTGCAAGTAGTTCCTTCTTTCTCTGGGGGGTGACTGGCTGTACCAGATGTCCTGGTTGCATAACTGGACACTGGTGGGCACATTTTTCCTAATGTGAGGCTATCTTACGTTAGGAATTATCTTCCATTTTGTTAATTATTGAAACACACTGAAGAGGTGGCCAGTATTATAAATTAGCACAATGAAAGAAAAATTATCTACTAGTGAAACTTCTCATCCTCATGTCAATTCTTGAAATTTTTCTAGCTTTTCATCTTGAACTGAAAAAGGCATTCTCACACATGCCTACCTAATGTATATATTAATTTGTTGCCCTAACACAAGAAATTGTACCAATTGTGTAAACATATTCAAGTTGAAAGTTGTGCTCAAAATGTATTCTTTGTGGTTCTGTATACATAATTTGCCCTACCCACTGCCCACTTCTTGGGTCATCTTGCACATCATCTTGCCCTATGTTGGATCACTTGTGCCATTCAAAAACACTCAGTTTCTTCATAGCGTAGTCACCATAAGCCACTGTTAATAGGTCTAATGTTTCACTGGCACATTTACCAATCTTCACACAAAACTTGATGTTTATCCACTGCTCAAGATTCTTGTCACTCAGTTTTCCGCCAAGAGTATACCATGGACATGTACTACTTCCTCTGCTGCTTGAGAACGGATGACTCATTTGGTGTGTGGTTCATGTAAACGCAAGTTGGAACATATCCAGACGTGCTTGGGTACACGAGTTTGCTTGACTCAGCAATCCAGTGACACACTGTGGCCATTCTGGGAATTAAATTGTCTGACCTTGTACTTTTCCCTTTTTGAACTGAAATCTTAATTTGTAATTAAGTAAAATACTGAAATTGCATCATGGGCCATGAAAAGCTGATTCCTGGGGTGCATTGTAGTTGCATTGCATGTATGAATGAAAAGGTGCAATACTTCTGCAGTACAACACCGGAGACCAGCATAGACAACATTGGCCTAGCAGGTGTATGCAATTGTAAGTACAGGGATTTCATATTTGGATTTTGGGTTCTCATAACAGTGACTGTAAAGTGTTCTGTCTTCTGGAATATATAGCAAAAGGTAGAATCCTTTANATGGGCCATGAAAAGCTGATTCCTGGGGTGCATTGTAGTTGCATTGCATGTATGAATGAAAAGGTGCAATACTTCTGCAGTACAACACCGGAGACCAGCATAGACAACATTGGCCTAGCAGATGTATGCAATTGTAAGTACAGGGATTTCATATTTGGATTTTGGGTTCTCATAACAGTGACTGTAAAGTGTTCTGTCTTCTGGAATATATAGCAAAAGGTAGAATCCTTTAAATATACCGTATTTACGCATGTATAGGCCGCGTGCATGTATAGGCCGCAGCACAATTTTCAGACAGAAATTATAGAAAAAATAATTTTCTTGGAATATTATTTCAGGAGTAGAAATTATTCCGAAATTTGGCAACGTTAATGTTTTTTAAATGAAGTGTGATTTCGAATATAAGCCACACCCCAGTTTTCCTCTTGAATTTTTGGCAAAAAATGTGCGGCCTATACGTGCGTAAATATGGTAGTTTGGTGTTATGTTTGTGCTTTATTCATAAGTGATTTTTTTTTCACTTTTTATTCGGTTAGTTTCCCTAACAGACACTAGATACATAAATTAAGCAAATGATATTTTAAAGTAGTTGGTATCAGGAAGCATCAGTACATGGTGGCTGCTTTGCAATTCAAATTAATGTCTTAAAATGTAAGTCCTCAGCTTCCCTAAGCAAAATCTAATGTTTTGCTCCATGGTCTTCTGTTTGTATCCTGTTTTCCTTGTTTTATAACGGAGGACAATCTTCTGGTATATACATGTTTGTGTCCTCTTTATTATGTGCCCTATACTGATAATTTTCATGTCAGTTGGTAGATATTTATGAAATTTGATATGAACACCATGTAAATTGAGGCCACATCATCAATCATTAATAGAAACATGGCGGTCATGCCACTTGAAATTTAGTATAATAATGTAATCTTGAAAATATGCAACTTGTGTTACATTTTTGGTTATACACTTCCCATGATTGTGGGGTTTACACCCTATTCTTTATGTATTTCTTTAACATCACTCTTACAAATGTAACCCAGGCATGGCAGTGCTGCTGATTTTCATTCTTTCCTTCGTGTTTAAGTAATGCTGACACAGCTATGGGACTCTGGACATACTTATTGCCATGATACGGGATATTTCTCTGTTATTCCTCTTCTTTTGTTCTGTGTAATGATGGCATTTATGTGTTTTGAATACTTAAATATGGGGCATGAACATTTTTTTATTATATTCATTCTCTTTGTGGTCATTAAGACAGGCATAGCAATGTATATTAAGCCTGTAGCAACAACAGTAATGGGAATTTGCAACAGTGATGTTGAGCATGAGAATTGTAACTTACTTGGGGACACAATAAATAACCTTCCCTTGTGACTTGTTCTGCTTCAGAGACAAGCACTCTGTGGGGTTATTCAGAGGCAGAAGCAGAAAGGAAACTACAGCGTAAACAGCCGAAAGTTATACATTCATTCATTTATTCACATTCCATAAGATCTTTACAAGGTCGAAATACAACCAATTAGATATAGAAATCGTCAAGTAGCTTAATCACATCTTGCTTATCAATCAAGCAGCTGTCAAAAAACAATTAGTAACAGTAACAATTAGTAAACCAAGTAAACGATATTGTTACGTAGTATGTGTCACTATAGACAGGGTTTGGGTTGGTGAAGGGATTTATTGACCACTTAAAAGTCATAACTACAAATAACTATAACACTGAAGAAAGCAGTTTTCTGGGATTTGGCACCGTGTATATCTGGTGTTAACCGACGCTTCGGAGGAACGTATCGCCTCCATCTTCAGGGTAGAAGAAAAAATATAAGAAATCTGCAAGCGAAGAGACCATGAGAACCGGTAAAAGCAGACGGTGCCAAATCCCAGAAAACTGCTTTCTTCATAGTCACCACCGTGAAAGCCTCAAATCTTACAACTATAACACTGTTGCTGATTTCCCCACTACAAATCACTATACACTAAGTCTTCTCCAGCCTGCAGTGTCTTCATTGGACACTTCCTGGTAACAGAAGTCAACAATGGAGATTCTTCAGCTTCACATGCTCAAGTCCGTTCTTCACAGACTCCTGTGCAGAACACAGCTCTCAAATGACTTTGGCCCTTATAAGATCTCACCACAGACATCGCAGAAGTACCCCATTTCCTCTGTTGCCATGGGAAAGTGTTTGCCGAACCGTTGCCCAGAAATGGGTCTAGTATATTCACTCATCTTACGGTCTACACACTACAATATCTGTGAATAATACATTCAATGGGTTAGTAACATGAAAGAATGCAGTATGTACACGAATTTGATTGATTTTTGTCAGGATTATGTGCTATGACTTAGGCAGATGAGATGTATATTACTTTTCCCTTTCTGAATTGAAATCTTGATTTGTAATTAAGTAGAATACTGAAATTGCAATATGGGCCATGAAAAGCTGATTCCTGGGGTGCATTGTAGTTGCATTGCATGTATGAATGAAAAGGTGCAATGCTTCTGCAGTACAACACCGGAGACCAGCATAGACAACATTGGGCTAGCAGGTGTATGCAATTGTAAGTACAGGGATTTCATATTAGGACTATGAGGAGTTTTATCTTCTGGGATATATATGAAATTTAATACTGTTTTATCATTCCAGTAGGGGTCACATGGTAGCTTGGTTGAGGTATGCTATAAGCTGTAAGGTCATGGGTTTGTTTCCTGATGAGGTCACTGGATTTTTCAATTTACCTAATTCCTTCCAGCTGCACTATGTCCAATGTATAAGGCTGACAACCTCACTGCCATCGGTGAGCTGATTATTTAGAAAATGTGAGAGCCTGGATGTCTCACAACCCTGTGGGTCTCCACGGCCTGTTACAGGGATAGCTTTACTTTCACTTTCTTATGATTTCACTAGTACCCCCATCCTCATCTGTCAACTTTATGAAGTCTGTATTAAGTGCAAGCAGCCGATATGGTATCACAGCTATGGCCGGGGCTCCAGCTTTGATTTAACATGGGGCGCGCCATAGCTCAAGCGGTTAGTCGCTGGCTTCCCACTGCAGCTGCCCGGGTTCGATCTCGGATCTGGTCAAGTGGGATTTGTGGTGGACAAAGTGGCGCCAGGGTGGGTTTTCTCCGAGTACATCGGTGTCTCCTGCCAATCTTCATTCCATCAAATTCTCCATCATCATAATCGCCGGGGGCAGGTACAATAGGCCAATCAGAGGCCACCCTGCCAAGTGGACCCAGTTGGATTCCCCCTCCCCCAAACTAAGCGAATTTTTCTTTTAAATTGATTTAACATATTGCAGAACTGTGAACAGTGAATATATTTTAATGTAAATTACATTTGGTGAAAAGGTAAAATGAGAAGTGTATCTCTAATTTCTATACTTGTACATATATATATATTTTTTTTGTTTCCAATCTGTTTGTGTAGTTGGTGCAACTTCTGGTTTGTGATTGGTTGCTGGAAACACGAACAGCTGTATGGGAAAAAGAAAAACAGGAGATTGATGGGTCAGGTCCTGTTCCAGTTGCAGATGCTGTTCTATCTGGTTTCCAGAGGGACCTGTCATCGCTGAGACGTCTCACAGAACATATTTCAGTAAGGATATATAAAATGATATGAAAGCGTCAGATAAAAAGCCCAAACTCATTATCGGGTGCCATGGAAGTTCTTTATTTTGAAAATTTACAAAAGAAATTATTTTAATAGATTTGTTACATGTTATATTGGAACTGGTTGATAAGTTTCAAGCCAAGTTTGATATTTTAGAACATAATTGCTATGCTTTTTATATGTTTTTTTAATTGCTAGTGGGGTGGGACTAAGTCCCTTGTACTGCAGCCACTTCTGGCCTATTGTACCAGCCCCAGATGATAGTTGAGGGTGATTGTGGAGCATTTGGTAGAATGAAGATTGGCAGGGGAAACCGAAGTACTCTGAGAAAACCTGCCCCAGCACCACTTTGTCCACCACAAAGCCCACTTGACCAGACCCTGGGATCGAACATGGGCCGCCATGGTGGGAAGCCAGCGACTAACCGCTTGAGCTATGGCGCGGCCTCTTTTATATGGTTTAAACGCTTGTAAAGTGATATGTATATGTTTATAATAATTGTATTGAAACTTTTGAAACCTGATAGATAAGTGTCATTTTAATTCTGACAAATGAATACGGTACACTGTCCCACATGCTTATTTCTGAAGTTGTAATCGCTTCTGCAGGTTGTGGTAGTAAATGACCATCATCAGGAGGGTTTACTCAGAAATGTATGTGAAACAACAAAACCATAGAGGAGTTGAATTTTGTAAAATTTATGCCCAGTTACTGTTTCAGATGAGATCCATCTTGAAGTACATGAAATTGAATACTAAAGGTATTGATTCTTTATTATGTTTTATGGCAGTTGTCTGTTCTTATTTATTTGAGATTAGCCTGCACTTCACCATTCTGTGTTGAAATGTGTTCATTTTGTTATCTAAACCCTTGGTTTTCCTTTATGTAGTTTTCAGGTCCTGAATCATCTGAGTTGGTGGCCATATTGTGTATCTCTAGCTCTGAGACATGTTTGTCAGTGTGTCCCATTCTTGTCCATGCATAGGAAATATCTGAAAAGTTAAATGTGTAGGATTCCTATCATGGAAGGTTTGACATACATCTTTCCTGTGTAATTTGTGATTGATGTACTTTTACAATTAGCATCTGGTGCAACAACTTAAATATGTACAACTATATGGGATTTCTTGAGCTCATTGATATACTACCATAGTCAGTAAGTTCGTAGACTGCCGCAAAGCGTCATTGCAGTGGACTACAGCGAATAGGTTGAGGCACAGTATGATGCCCTGTTAGTTCATCCCTCGTCACAGCAAGAGGCAGTTGTGTGCAAACAGTGTAAGCAGAACTACGGCCTCTATTGTGAACTGCAGTTAAGTGCAAGTGGCAGAAATAAAAGATGTGGCAGTTTGAACAAAGGGCAAACATTGAGTTCTGCCAAAAACTAGGCAAATCCCCTAGCGAAACATTTGGTGTAGGAAGAATTGGCTGTTGCTACACGACAATGCCCCTGCACACCGCTCTGCTCTTGTCCAAGAGGAACTGGCAAGGCAACAGGTCACCGTTTTGCCACACCCTCCGTACTCACCTGATCTCGCACCATGCGATTTCTTTCTCTTTCACCGCTTGAAAGCAAAGCTACATGGTCGTAGATTTCAGTCGTCCGAGGTCGTCACTGCTACAAGAGACGCCATATGGGAATTTCCTGCCAATATGTTTCAGCAGTGTTTTCGGCAGCTATATCAACGTTGGCACACTTGCATAGCGGCCAATGGTAACTATTTTGAGGCCCAATGTGGATCTGTGTAAGTGTATGTGAATACCTTGTAATATGATGCGATAAAACCACAGTCTACGAATTTAATGACTGTACCATGTATACATCTTCATTTTATATGATTCTTTGTATGTTTTTATGTACTAACTGATCAATGTTTCTTTTAATACATAATTCCTTTTATATATAATTTTATACAACTCATGATGGATCTGACTTGAAACACTGATTGGGCAGAGCACCTTTCGCAGAATCAAACTCCTCTTTAGTTTTGTAGTTTTTACAAAATTTTATGTGTATACCCACCTGATAATGGTCATTTAACCTATAGCTTGGGTATGATGGATTAGTGTGTTTATGCCCTACATATCTGTAATGGATTTAACAGAGTATTATGTTCTGTGATTTTGTTTGTTTGTACCTGACATGTAAACTGAGCTAGCAAGCTGCAATTTGCAGCACTGCAGTCAGAGTTCTATCACTCAGATGATATCGTTCTGCAGTATTCAGGCAAAAAGCATGGATAACTAAGTTTCTTTTGAACTGTGCATACCATGCTCACTCAAGAGTGACCTAACCCTTGAAAGATGGTGGTGATTAAGGTGAAGCAAAAGTGTATTTTTAGGGACAAGACTGAAACTCTCTTTTTTTTAAGAAATAATTTTAGAGAAGAGGGACATTCTGCTTGCTTTCGCAATGTCCACATTTTGTAGACAATTCAACTTCTTTTTGCAGCAAGCAGAATAAGAAACTACAAAATTCAGCCCATTTTTGACCACCTCAAAACCAAATGTGCCTCTGTATACGTTCCGGAACACACCGTTTGTGTTAATGAATCACTGTTTCTATTAAAAGGGTACCCATGCTGGAACCAAGCACAGCCTTTCATTCATTCATTAGCCTTTATGGCATGAAAATATGAAAACTCAGTGAAAGTAGCCCAGGGTATGTTTGGAGCTTTACAGTCTACACTGGCAAAGACACTGCATATGGAGACAAGCACCCAGAACAGCAAACGTCGTCATCAGTTGTTCTGGAACTGGCGAACAATCTGCTAGAAAAGGGATATTGCTTTTACCTAGATAATTGGTATACCGGCCCGAAGCTGGTAGACACACTTTGTACCAGGAGAACTGAGGTAGTTGGCTCAGTGAGGAGGAATAGAAACGACTTTCATGACTTTGTGAGAAAGGCTAAACTACAGAACAATGAATCGGTGACAGCATAGCAAAAGTTGACCAGTCACTCTGACCTAGTGCCAAGGTGGAGCTATACCTCCATGCTCCTATTAAGATCATGTATCCTTGCTATTTAATGCAAGTTTTGAAATGTGAGATGTAATTTAAAGTTTTGTAGAGTAACATGATAACCTCATGACTTTTTATCAGTAGATTCTGGCTGGGGTCAGTTCTTTACTCGTCGTTTGGTTATATGTTTAAGTTTCCTTGTAATTCATATTTTCAGTCAGCACTTCCTCGTGTGTTCCTATATGAAGCTACAGCACGTATGATGGCAGGTGCGTCACCAGGGCGCACACAGCAACTGCTGGATCGCAGTTTGCGTCACAGACACAGTCGGACATCTCTAATCTGTGGCAAAGGTGTGTGTATGCTCAGATTTATATATCATTAGTTACTAACATTGTTCAGAAGTGACATGATCTCTTCTTCAGGCATATCCTCTGTTAAGGGACAAGACAAGATGAAAGCCTCCAAATATCTCTGCTGTTCCATATTTTTTGATATTATAATATCGGCCACCTCTGTGGTCTAGTGGTCAGAGTTCCTGGAATTAGATCCAGAGGTTCAGGTTCGATTCGTGGCACTACCAGATTTTCTGAGAAGCAGTGGGTCTGGAATTGGGTCCACTCAGCCTTGTGAGGATAATTGAGGAGCTACTTGATTGGAGTAGAGGCTTCAGTCCAGAAAGCCAAGATTAACAGCCATGGGAAACCGTTGTGCTGACCACGGAACACCCTCTATCCGTAAAAGTTGGCACTAACTTCATGTTTGAAAATGTAGATATTTAAACTGAATCTACTTCTGCTCCAAGTATTGAATATTAAAATGTGTCATGTTTCACCTCAGATAAAAACCAACAAGAGGCTGGAGGTGATAGGGAGCACGCAACAGCCCTCTACATGGCATGTAGACATCTGCCTACTCCACTGCTGTCGTCACCTGGTGAACGTGCTGGAATGTTGGCTGAGGCTGCCAAGACACTAGAGCGAATTGGTGACCAGAAGCGACTACAGGATTGTTATCATCTTATGAAGTCACTTGGGAGCAGTTCTGTTACAAACTGAACTTTGTGTAATGTTTATATCATTAAAGTTCTGTTACAGGTTGAAAGCAGTAAGTCCTGTATATGAACCATTATGGACGCCAACATTGATATGGCATGGTAACAGCATACAAATGTTGGGTATCAAGAATCATACCGAATGCAGAATAATGACCAACAAGAAGGTAGCAAATGGATAAGAAACAATGGAAATGATGAGATGGTTCGTAACATGCCATTTTGTTTCAATGAAAAGTTTTGTTATGTTGGCGAGAGGTTGTAACTGGAATTTTGTGGCACTGGAACACTTTATTTTCTAATAAAAAATACAACTTCTTTCTGTTAGTGTTCATCATTGTTAACTTAAAGGATTTAGGTCTAGTAGCTTTTTGTGACACTGTTAAAATCTTTTTCCTCATACAGGATAATTAACTCCCAGTTGGGATACACTTTTCTTCTGTGTTCACACAATTTATATGTGTATCCTGAAAAATCTATTAATTTATTAATATGTAATGCTGTTCTAACTTCTTTTTCAGTCTCATTTCTTTGTGCTGTGAAGAAATTTGTTTGCTGTCCTCCTTGTTTTTTTTTCTTTTTTTTTGCACAATATCTGCTGGCTTTTTCAAGGAAAAATAATTCCATGAATGATGGAGCTGAGAATAAGAGTTAAAAATGTTAAAAAGAAGGAAAGGTAGAAGTCTTAATTTAGGAGAAGGTTTTGACAGTGCCTACTGGATGACAAAGTTTGCCTAAGTGACATAATTTTATTTATCTCAGAAAACATAATAAAGACATCCAATAAAACTCTTAATTTAGTCCCAAAGAGTAGATATAGATATTTATGGGTGTATTTCCTTAGTACTGTTGTATAGCTACAAGAAAGCTTGCCTGACAAGAACAATGCAGCCATGGAAACATCTGAAAACACAGCATACTTATGCAAAGCAGGATTTCTGGCTATGAATTAAATAAAATGAACAGATTCATTCTGCTTTGATGCTTGTATGCAACTAGCACTATCAGATACCATTGAAGCCAGGCTGGATTTATTAATGAGAAAAGTTCAAGAACAAGGATGAAACTGGTATATTTTTTCATGTGTAACATTAGAGTGAGTTTTATTTTATATTTGTGTTTTGAACTATTTATAATAAAGTTAAATTTCCATAAATATTTATCTTTCATGACCACAGTATATTTCCCGATTTATGGCAGAGTAGGTTTGTGTCATAACTGATTTTCCTTCCCCTTGCCCCAAACCTGCTTTATTTTTTTATGTACTGTTGCTTTATATTCAAAGAATGGAAACAAGTGAGCAGCAGTAAGATATAAGGTTTATTAACTTTCTTTCCTTGCACACTACAGTATGGTAAGGCAGCCTTGGTGTAAAGCTGGCCACTCACCTTGAGCTAATGCAGAGGTCAAGAAAATTTGCATCTATACATTCACTCCATGCACTTTCATGGCACAGTGCTTAGTTAAGCACAGGAACCACTTTACCTTTACCTTCTTACACTATAGTAAAAGAATAACCAAAAATTTGTATACATATTTTAGTTTTATATTCTCTTTAGGTGAGCTGGGATTGTGACTGGCTACAGGCTGGACAGTGGAGGGGTTGGGAGTTGGAGTTTGAGTTTGAGTCCCTGTAGGGTCAAGAATTTTCTCTTTCCACAATGTCCAGACTGGCTCTGAAACCTTATTTTAAATAAAGCAGGACGATGGATGATGTAAAGGAATAATTGTATTATCAATAATACGAATTCGCATTCCTGTAGAATATTGAATTTCCTAAACAATTCCCTGCAAAAAACTTCCTTTCTAACATCTACAATTATTATACAGATTTTCTTCTGGTTGCAAAACGAGTACTTTAAATGTACGTTGTACTTCCCAACAAAATTACTCCGTATGACGAATGTTTGTAAAATGCTTTCCTACTAAACTTCACCTTCTTGCATTCAGAATCACTGCTGTGATTATACATTATAAAGCACGAACAAATTGGAAATTTATTACATAAAACTTAACTCATGCGAAGCACTGGAAACATAGATCCAATTTTCCCTCCCACATCGAACTCAGTTCCACGTCGAACCTTCATATGATTCATATTTGCCGATATTTGCTGCCCATGCTGTTTAAGACTTTACGCAATGTTACCAATGTGATTACTTTGAAAATGTAAACCCTTCATTGACTACAGATATTCATATAACGACGAAATGGGATAAAGTTAAGGTATTAGCTGACGTCTCGAAATGTATAACTTTTCAAGTTATTTAAACTGGTGGAGTTAGATCAAGATTCGTTTAATTATTCTATTTGAGTGTATATATTGGTGACCTGTATGCGATATCAGAGACACCTTGCGAGTTACGTAGGTACGAAGTAAATATTATCGGGTGTTGTGCCAATGTTTTAGGTATGTCGATGGCGAGAACGCGAAGTAATTTATGTATCTGAAATAATCCGAGTTATTCGTTAGTATCTAATTTATTTTTTTGTTAGTATGTCGTCCCTTTATATTTTACTAATTACGTGCGTCGTTGTAGGAGTGTACGGCGATGAACATAATCATGTTGTAAGTCAGATAATTTTTCAGTATTTATTCTGAAATGGATGTTGACGGAACGACTTTTGTGTGTGTTATGCAGTTGGTTCCTTGATGTTGATTCTCCTAAATAATAAGTATGTGGTGTAGCATGTGTCGTCATTTTCATCTTGTATCATCAGAAACCGCTGTCCCCATCAGTAAGAAGAGAGCAGAGTGGGCACTGTTTGACGTTACTGATGGAGTGTTTAGTTGATGGGTGTACTACTAGTATATTTAGTTTTTATTTGTGGTGTAATGCATATACTTACGCAGGATATTGGTATCCTTTTTACAGAGGAAATTATCGCACTGAGATGAATTAAAATACATTTCGGAAGTTCCTATATTGGAAATGGGAAATTTGGAACTATAGTTTGAGAATGTGTTATGTTGTAATTATGCTATTTAATTTCTTGATATATTTTAGCAGTTTAAATCTCTTTCCATTTTTAAGTATTTACATCATTTTGGAGGATGTGGCATTTTGAACTCATAGTACAATGTTGTCATGATTTTTAGAACTGGCATCTGTAGGGGCCAGTGGGGAACAAAAACTTGCTCCCATTACCACCTTTCAGAGATTTCGTAACCTTATGAACCAGACATGAAACCATTCCAAGTTCACTTACCACTGAATTTCACTTCAGTTATGCTGACTGGCTTAATTGGTTATGAGATTCATCATGAAGTGAGTTGGGTTGCCGTGTTCCTTATGTAATATTTCATTTTGGGCTTGTCAGAGTTGGGATTTTATGGGATTTGCACTTAGTGTGACAACATTTTTAATGAAGATGTAAATAATAATACTCTCTATAAATCTTAATGTGGGACTTGTGTGTAGGGAAATCATTATTGTTTCGTAATGTTAGCTAATTTGTGATGTCATGTGTGAGTTTTTATAGGGAGTGAGAGGTCATGGATGGTTGTAGAACCAGAACTTTGCTGATTATGATTCTGGATTTTGAATTAACTTCGAGATGCCAGATTTGGGTATGACGCCAGGAAGAGTATAAGGGTATAAATTAGAACCAGTGTGTGTGTGTGTAACTGACCGCCTCTGTGGTCTAGTGGTCAGAGTTCCTGCTTACAGATCCAGAGGTTCCGTGTTCAGTTCCCCAGTGCTACCAGATTTTCTGAGAAGTAGTGGGTCAGGAACAGGGTCCATTCAGCCTCATGAGATTAATTGAGGAGTTATTTCAAGGAAATAGCAGATCTGGTCTAGAAAACCGAGATTAACGGCCATGGGGGATCCATTGGGCTGACCACATGACATGCTCTGTCCTGCAAAAGTTGCCACTAACTTCACCGACAAGTGGCAGTCGTTCGGTCGGTATAGTTCACTTGTGGACTAAAACCATGGAGTTTGTTTTGTTTGTGCATGTAACTAACTTACTGTGACCAATCAGACATGTTGATGAGTAAGAATGTGTTTTTTCCCACAAAATTCATGTTCAACAAAATTCAAAATTATTCCAACAAAATAATGCATTATATATGGCTTATTTAATTATCCCTGATGTCTCATTGCTCAAGTGACAGAAGTACCTTTGCAGAAAGACTTTTAATATCATTCTAATGTTTGTGCCTGCCGATCTGTGTGTGTTCACATTATCCTGTGCTCAATTGTGTCACAATTCCACTGTTATGCCTTGTAATTCCTTGCCAGCAATAATATGAATGTAATGCCCATGGGAAGTTCTAAAATTTGGTGGGGGGATCAGTTGGGTTCCTACAGACTTCTTATTGTTTATTTTATGTTGAAGGTTGTTAATATAGTAATGATTATTTCCGACAACTATACCACTAGCAGTTATGCTCAGACGTGCACCACCAATATTAAAATCAATGTAAAATGGCCTTTGAAGGTGCACAGGGTATTAAAATGGCTTAGGGCAAGTTGTAATGATAAACTTTTATGTTGACATTACTGAACTGTTTGAGTGGTATGCTGGGGAATTTATTGACCAGCTTAGTACATGTAGTAGTTCCTTTTTGCCAAAGAGAGATGAAGTGACAGGAGGTTGGAGAAAGCTGCATAATGAGGAACTTCATAACTTGTACTCTTCTCCAAGTATAATTAGAATGATCAAGTCAAGGAGGATTAGATGGGCAAGGCATGTAACATGAATGGGGGAGGAGAGGAATGCATATAGGATACTGGTGGAAAATCTAGATATAAGGAGACCACTAAGAAGACCAAGGCGTAGGTGGGTGGACAATATTCAAATGGATCTTAGAGAGATAGGATGGGATGATATAGATCTGATTAGTCTGGCTCAGGATATGGACCAGTGGAGGGCTCTTGTGATCACAGTAATGAACCTTTGGGTTCCATAAAATGCTGGGAAATTCTTGAGTAGCTGCAGATTTGGCTTCTCAAGAAGGGCTCAGCTCCATAAGTAAGTAAGTACTTTCGTTTTTGTGTGTGGAAAAAAAATTATTACTGAGTAGAATTTGAGATTCTCACAGTGGTGGATATAACATCATGTAGTCCATTGAAAGTCAACTGACATTTCAGAGGATTAATTCCATCTACAGGACTGAAGAAAAAACTGAGCAAGATACCAGTGTGAAAGCCGAGTAGTAGGCGTGTGCTTTCACGCTGGTATCTTGCTTATCTGTAGGATGTCGGTGTTTGAAGAGACAGCCACTTAATAACTCCTATACAACAAGTATTTATTGTCGTTATACAGCACATGTGGATGAACTTCATTCAGCTTGAAGATTTGAAGGCCGTAGGTCGCAGGTTGCATATTGCTGGTAGTAAGTTGCAGATAGACCGGTTGAAGAAGAACTCACTCTCTCTCTCTCTCCCTCTCTGTTGGTTCTGCGTCTGAGTCTGAATCTTATCTTATGACTGGCTGTCAGTTGGCCAGTATGTCTTGGAATAAAGCACCCATCTGGGGCTTATAACCAGATTTATATTACTGTCAGACAGTTGTTTTGTTGATTTGGGGCACTCTATCTCACGAAAGGATGGGTCTGTCATTTACAATTGCTGCTGGTCCTCGCCAGCGCAGTCATTCTCGGGTCCGAGTGCCATGGGACTCACAATCATTTTTTACTGTCTTAGATTCAAGACTTCCTTTTTTGTCACCTCCTACGACTCGCAGGACTATAGTGGATGTATTCGACCTCCACCCCCTCTTTTCATTCATGTATTTGTACACTTTAAGTAGTTTCATTCTGACATTAAAGAGAGCGCCTGGCTTTACTGTTACTGCATTGTACTGAACCCCTTCCATGGATACTTTATTATTGAATGTTTCCTCATGATGATCGCAATTATTATGCCACAAGTGTGTTGTTTCTGCAATGCTTGATTTAATGTATGTGGTTCCCACACAGCTTATTACTCAACACTGAAGATGGAGGCTGTATGTTCTTCTGAAACGGTTGACTTCCAGTGGACTGCAAGACATATCCTAGAAGCCAGTACTCTGCAAATTTCTGAGTGTTTGAAAAAAATTACATTTGTTTCAGTATGATGATCATGATGAAGTTGTTCTGTGGATGAACACTGTTGGACCATATCATAACCGACAAGAAACATATGCCTACTTTTCTTTGCCATTTTGTGTGGGGACAAAGGAGAGCATTGGCCATTATCATGAGACTCTCAGTGAGGCTCTGCAAGGAGTGGAACTTGAATTCAGTGGCTTGGATATTGAATTCAAAGGTATAGGAAATGTTTTAATTGTTTACGAAGGGGGACCCAAAAATAACCGGAAACGACCTGTTGCGCGCGCATGCTTTGTAGTTACGAGTTGTGCTGCTAGGTGGTGTTAGCTGGGGGTCTCCCACGACTGTTAGTGAGCTGGCGTCAGTCTGAGTTAAGTGGTTTGTCTGTGGTGCTCTGTTGTGTGTGTTCCTGTTTCAACCCTTTGGCGATTAGTGAGATGGCCGACCAGAAGGAACAAAGAGTGTGCGTGAAATTTTGCTTTCTGTTAGGGAAAACTGCACTTCACTCTTCAAGTCGCGGCAAACATTCACGCGGTTTTCTCTTTGGTCATCTCCGAGCAAGCGAGGAACAAATTTTGCAGACACCCGTCTCATGTGCAAACCTTCGGTTAAAATTCGCTGGACCGTGCTCCATGAGATGTTCGTTTCCTCAGAAAGTTGGTCAATGGTCTTTCGACGATCTTCATCAATTTCACGCACACTCTTTGTTCCTTCTGGTCGGGCAACTCACTAATCGCCAAAGGGTTGAAACAGGAACGCACACAACAGAGCACCACAGACAAACCACTTAACTCAGACTGACGCCAGCTCACTAACAGTCGCAGGAGACCCCCAGCTAACACCACCTAGCAGCACAACTCATAACTACAAAGCATGCGCGCGCAACAGGTCGTTTCCAGTTATTTTTGGGTCCCCCCTCGTATTTGTGGGTAAAGGATTTCAGTTTGTTGTTAGTTGTTTGTCTGCCAACCAGTTGGTACCACGTATGCGGTCCTCACCACATGAACATGTGATGTACATGGTGCGTGATGCTCATCTATAGAATTTGTTATGCCCATTGTCTGATCTTGCAGAGTAATACTCGTACATAAGGAAAATTAGTAGACAAACAGAAGTAAAGCTTTCATCCAACACCAGAGCCCTGTTTTCTATCAAAGAATTCCCTTGTTCCAAAGCAGTAAGGAAAAGATGATAAAAGATTAAGGAAATTTATCAAATTGTGCTTGCAGTAGTTGTAAATGATAATATTCTGTTATATTATTTACTGCAAAATTGTTATGAAGCATCATTACACAGTATCATCAGACTTGATGGTATTACACAGTTTTAGTTGACATATTTTTGCATGTAATGAAGTATTTTTGGATAATTAGTATGTAATAAATTTCCGGTGTTTTGGAGATATTGTCTTACTCCTTTGTCAGGAATTGATGTAATGGGTGATGGCCGCTGTTAATTGTATATATATACATACTGTTTGCTCACAGCATTCTGTCTTGTTGTCTGGGGGTGGGCAGAGGAAGGCAGTCAACCATCTTGTCTAAGTCAGTTATGTGATGTTGCTGAGAGTCTTCCTAGGCAACGTAACATTGATGAGTGAGAAACTTCAGATATGGCAATGCAATTAACAGTTTTCAGCTGTTTCCCTTCTCTTATGGCACCTGTGCGAGAGGGTGGTGGTTAGCACTGCAAATGATGGCTGGCAGAACTGTTGCATGGTGGGTGAACTTCATAAAAATGGTAAATTTTCTTTGAAATCTTTTTGTTTGGATGAAAATTCTGGTTGTTTGGATACTGGATAACCAGGAGTTTACTGTATAAACAGAGTTAGGGATTCTTGCCCTGTCATTACAGGTACTGAACATTATTCTATATTTCAGCTGATATCTCAAGCACTCCGTACTGTGAAATACAACTAACTGAAGAGAAGCAAAAAGCCTTTACCTATGCAGTGAAGAATCATTACTGGTATCAGATGTACATGGATGATCTTCCTGTTTGGGGTAAGTTATTTATTCTCTAGATGAGAGATTAATGATAATATTTGCTTGGGAAATGTGGCAGTTTTTAGTGACCATAGGCCATTAAATCCCATAAAAGTGATTCTCTATTTCCACTAATGATAAACAGCTGTTAGCTGTTTTTATAGTGTTGACCTAGTTATTTCAGAGATACGCATCTTTCACATAGATTCTGTACATTTTAAGTTTAGATACATTTTTGTTCAAAGGAGGTTCTGAATGGGATTTTTGCTGTAAAACCATTAAATAGTGCACTGAATATGACAGTGTGAGATTAGTACATGTTGCTTGTTAGAAGGTTTTTTGATAGTGGTTACACTATACACACATGCTTTGCGAATCAGCTCACCTCCTGTCTTCAGGGTACTGCTATTTTGCTGATGGTTGCGATGACTTAATGGTTATTTTTTTTTAAATTCACTTACTGGGGGGGAGGAGTCCAACTGGGTCCGCTCAACACGGCGGCCACTGATTGGCCTATTGTAGCCTGTCCCGGTTGATTATGATGATAGAGAATTTGGTGGAATGAAGATTGGCTATGGGAATGGAAGTACTCGGAGAAAAGCTATCCCGGTGCCACTTTGTCCACCACAAATCCCACTTGATCGGACCTGGCCCGCTGCGGTGGGAAGCCAGCGACTAACAGCTTGAGCTATGGCGCGGCCTTGGTTTAATGGTTAACATAATGTTTAGCAAGAAGGATTGGTATATTCATGAGTTTTGTAACACTTAATGCATACAGAATTTGGGGGGAGGGGGGATGGGTGCTCGGAAGATGGATGGGGTGGGATAGTAACACTAGGATAGATCTTTAAAGAAAAGGGTTACGTGGATGGAAGAGGTGTATTTTTGGAAATAGCTCAGTATCATGTGCAGTGATGGGGGTTTTTGTATCAGTGATACTGAAAATTTAGGTTCTGCTGGTGGGGTGATAATTATATTAATATTTTGTGTTGTCATCAGAGTCGAAAATAAAGACATTTTTCAGTATGATGACCCACCCGAAGGTGGAAATAGATTGAACTCCTGAGTTGTATAAATGTACATCAAACAGTGGGCAGTAATCAGCGGAACTGCCGTGTGAAGCAACTATGCTGTGGCATAATGTCCTTGAAATACATGCAGAAAACATGTGACCCTGAGTCAGAATTATTTAATCCAGTTGTTCCAAGACACATACTTTCTTTGTGTGTGCATGCACATACTAGCCATGACTTCTTTATAAAGTCGTCCATCTTTAACTGCTTCGCAGCCTATGACTTCTCATTCAGCAGTAGATGCGCAGAACAGGTCAGCCATTCACAACTGGCCAGCAACCAGTTCACTTTAAAGCAAGCATTATGAGTTGAAATCATTCTAAATTATTTCATCGTGTTTCAAACTCCTGTAATGAGGAATATCTGTAGAGTCCATAGCTCTTTTAAGAACTTACTGGCATACTAATTGGATTTAGTGACTCTACTTGTTGCATGGACTGGCTCTGTGGTCTAATAGTCAGAGGTCCTGGGCTCGATTCCTGGCGCTACCTGATTTTCTGAGAAGCAGTGGGTCTGGAATGGGTTCCACTCAGTCTCATGAGGATAATTGAGCTGTTTCAAGGAAATAGCAGCTCCGGTCTAGAAAACCAAGATTAACGGCCGTGGGGATCCGTTGCACTGACCACTTGACACCCTCTATCCGCAAAAGTTGGCACTAACTTTGTTGACAAGCGGCGGTCGCTCGCTCAGTATCGTTTGCTTCGGACTACAGACCACGGAGTTTCTTGTTGCATGAATAACCACCATTATTAATGCACTGTTCAGAGAGTTTTTAATATTATCAAATAATTGTATGCAATCTTCTGTAGGAATTGTAGGAGAAGTGGAAGATGATGATGGTACACCGAGTTACTACATCTGGACACACAAAAAGTTTGATATTGGATACAATGGGAAACAGATTGTTGATGTTAATCTGACCTCAGAAAATAAAGTGAAACTGAAGCTTGATGCAAAAATTCCTTTCACTTATGAAGTGAACTGGAAGAAATCTAGTATTAGGTTTGAAGATCGATTTGACAAATATTTGGATCCAAACTTTTTCCAGCATCGGGTAAGTACATTTTATGACTGTCCTGTATATTTTCTTCATAGACTGAATGCAGGTTAGTTTTTCATATAGCAGATCAAAGTGCATATTATCATGATTTGGGGGCATTTATGATTTATAGATGGCGTAATTCTGTATTTCAGCATGCTGTTGCAAATCTTTAGTTAAACATCTATGTATTGACAGTTCATCAATAATGCAACAGTTATTCACCATTTAACACTTAACACAACGTGTTTCGGCCATAGATTGCCATTTTCAGGTGTCTAATGCACTAGTGAAGGCAGCACCACATGCTCCTAGAGTGTACACACAAGCAAGGGGCGTTATGCAGATTGCAGATGTAGCAAAACAACGGGCTAACGAACAGAACAACAAGCTTCAGAAACGAACCTTCTGAAATAATCACATAGCTCTAGACAAGTGAAAGACGCCCCTTATGTGGTGGAATAGGATTTTACAAAAAATTGTAATAGAAAATTGTAATGGATTGTAATGAATTATTTTTATGTTATTTTAGGTGGACTGCAACACACGGTTTTAGCGCACATCAGAGCAGTGTAACAGTTTGGATGCATTAGACGTCTGAAGATGGCCATTTATGGCCGAAACATGTTGTGTTAAGTGTTAAATGGCGAATAAACAATTATTGCATTATTGACGGACTGTGGATACATAGACGTTTAATTATAGATGGCGTTTGGATTGGTGAATGGATTTATTGACCTGTTGTATACACCCCTCTGAAGTACAGTTTACAAATCACTGACACAGACAGACTAGTGTCCTGAGTCTATTACAGTCTACACTAGCCATTGCTAGGAAACGGCTGAACACTGACAGATGAACAAGCATAACTAATTTTATCATTACCAGCACCTCAAATTATATATACTGTGTAATACTAAATTAAAAAAAAATGTTGTGTTCCAGATTCACTGGTTTAGCATTTTCAATAGTTTTATGATGGTAATCTTCTTGGTTGGTCTTGTATCAATGATTCTCATGCGAACACTAAGAAAAGACTACGCTCGTTACAGCAAGGATGAAGAACTGGACGACATGGTATGTTTGACATAAAGCTGTATGAAAGATTTTTCATCTATCAGAATTTGATTTGGAGAATTACTTTGTAAAGTTATAAAATAAGTTGGGTTTGGCATAGTAAGATCACAGTAACCTGACCAGTAAGATAAAGCATTGAGTTATTAACAGTTTTGTACTGTACAGTCCCCTAAATGAGTCATGATTCCTCAGTAAAACCTGGAGGCTGGAAACTGTGGTTGAATTTTTTTTATTCATATATACAAAGCCCTTTGTCAGCACTTTCAGAGGAGCTTTATATACTATTTTGAGTGCCAGTGACTAACTGAGCTATGGTAAGGGAACGAGTCCTCCGGGAGGGACTTTAAGCCGTGGGTCCCGTGTCGTAGCTTTACAGCACGTAAAAGAACCTCATATCTCCAAAGGAGGTCACTGAGCCAAATTCAAGATCATTTCCCGCCCAGCAGTAGTTTCTAATGCCTCTGATAGATGGGTGAAGCATTATAGATACCACCAAGCCAGCAGAAGCCAAAGTTGCTGGCTTGGTCGGGACTGATGGTACACACCAATATTGGTAGGGTATAGAGACAGGTAGAATATCATAGAGGGAAGCACAGTGGACCAATACTGGTCTAAGTGCATGGGGAAACCCATCCTCTCCAATACCTAACTAACTAACTGAGCTATGGTATGGCCAGCTGTTGGCACAAACTTCGCCTACAAGCGGCAGTCACTCAGTGAGTATAGTTCGCTTGCAGACTAGAACCACAGTTGGTTTGTTTGTCCAATAAGATGGATGGAATTGAGGATGAGGATGAGGTTGGGAATTGTGAAGATGGTCAAGCTGATACAGGTGATAAGAATGGTGAACAGGGCAAGGCTGGTGAAGTGCAATGAAGACTATTGGCCTATTGGCTTCTATAGAAGGAAACAAACTCAATAAATGTTATGTATATCATCTTTTGTAATATTTTTATGTTCAAAATTTAAAAACTTTGCACTACATAGATTAAAACCTGAAGAGTTGTTTATTTACTTAGTGACCCTACCATGTTTCAGCATTTAATTGTGATCCTCGGAGGATAATTGTTCAATAAATACTGTAGTATAAATTGATCATAAAATTTCTTTTTCTGTGCAGGCATGTTTCCTAGCTCAGGATTTTCTTAATTAGGAATCGTGTTCCATTTGAGTAAACACAGTAGTAAATTGTAGAAGTGACTGATGTTCTAAATTATTACATTGACAAAAATTATGTGCTTCTACAGATGAACACGCTACTCAGTGAAATAAAAAAGTGGAATACCAAATACTTAAGAAAATATAAAACAACACTAATACACTAACAATGAACATACTAGAAAATAGCAAAGCTACACATAGATTGAAAAGGTATACCATCCTAACTCTTCCAGACATACATGAATAAAAGCCCAATACAGGAAATGAAATGATATTTATGATATCTGTGATTTTTTCTTGTGGGGTCATGAGAAGAACATTGTCTACCAGGTTAAGATCAATGAGCTTCAGCACCTGAAAACCCGCATAAGGGACGCTGTGGCTATGGTAACACCAGATGTGCTTCAAGCCTGGATATTTGTCGTGCCAGCAAGGGAGCCCAAGTTTAAATGTATTGAGGAAGTTATATATGCTGAAAAGAACTTTGATAACATCCCTTTGTAATGTAACCTATTAATTTGTATAATAAATCTTTCTGAGATAAAATGATTTTATTTTGGATACCTTTCATCCGGACACCCTGTATTCTTGTTTTGTATGAATTCTCTTCTGCATGTAGGAATATCATATGTTTTGGCCATTTTTAAAAGTGAACATATTTATGGTAGCATTTGTGTTGGTGCAGGAGCGAGACCTTGGTGACGAGTACGGCTGGAAACAGGTGCATGGTGATGTTTTCCGTCCAGCATCCCATTGCATGCTGTTCTCTGCCTTGGTGGGGGCTGGCTACCAGGTCACTGTGGTTGTACTCAGCGTCATCATCTTCGCTATGCTGGGAGAGCTTTACACAGAGTGAGTTTTATAAATGCTATAGAAATGGTGTTCGTTTCTTTTCTTCAGGTTCCTGGACTATTAATACGTTGGTGCTGGGAAGGCAGTTTTCTGAATATGTAATTTTAAGAATAGAAGAATTTTTGTATTTCTGTGTTTCGTCCTCTGTTATTTCCTTATTTTTTTTTTTGTCATGTAATTTATTTGTGTCTTTACTTCATTGGCACGTAGCCTACAGTCCTGGTATGCTAATCGCAAGTATTTATTTTATAATATAAAAGACATCTAGATTATGTTTCTCAATAAAAGTGTAACTTTAATACTTTATGATGATGATGATAAAATGTCATTAAGACGCTAAAAGTATAACATACACTAAAAGTGATTATCAGACTACTAAAATGTCACTAGTTTTTCATATGTTTCTTCTCTTTACAACATGTTTAGGCCACACATGGACCATTATCAGGCAATTTTGCTTTTGTTTTCGGGGAGACAGGTGCTTTAATAATAAGGATGATGCCTCAATGCAGCAGGATGCTAAAAAATATAATATTTCATAAGATAGTTTGGAGTGTTTGATGCATGCAGTAATGGCAGCATTGATAAAGTAAACTGTAGACTGTTTTGTGTTTGAAGTAAATCTTAATCAGGTGGTGATACCAATTTGACAGTTTTATCACTTATGGGTTGCAGTCTGATTAAGAGTGGAGATAGTTCCTACAAGACTTGTGCTATCAGAAATGTCAGGTCTGGAGATAGTTCGTGCAAAGCTTATGTAATGAGGTTAATGTATACATTCACTCACACACACATGTATGTATATATATATATAATTGAAAAACAATGTGTTGTCATGTTAATTTTTTATTGACGGCTCCATTTTTCGAATGTTGTAACACATATTGAAGATAAAATTATTTTCAGTGGAACTTATCAAGTGTAAAAACTCCATTACTCTGTAAATATCTAAGATCCAAATTTTTGGATTATGTGGACAGCCAGCAAAACTGAATGTGTGTGTGAAATTCCAATTGCATCCAAAGTCTGGAGACTAGTCTAAAACTGGAGCAGTGATAACACTAAAGTTGATAAGTTACATCCGTTCTCTTTTTCTTTTTAGTCACTTATATATCAGAGATTCTAGCAGATGAGTCATAATACCAGGCATCCTGAATAAAACTCAGCAGTACAAGTTACACAGTAAACTAAAGAAATTACATTACGTTAATGCCAATTGTTAAAACATCCATGCACACGCTTAAGTGGTTTTGATGCTAATTAGGATATTGAAATTTGTGTTATAAATTTAATTTGGAAGTAGTTATAACTTTCCTCAGTTCCAGAATTAATGTTACAGGCGAGGTTCACTGTTAAGTACAGCCATATTCGTGTATGCAGCTACATCACCGGTGAATGGATACTTTGGAGGAAGCCTTTATGCTCGTATGGGCGGAAAGATATGGATACGCCAGATGTTGCTTTCAGCATTCATGCTCCCAGCTCTAGTCTGTGGCACCGCCTTCTTCATTAATTTCATTGCTATTTATTACCATGCATCTCGGGCCATTCCTTTTGGGACCATGGTAAGCTGTAGCACTTTTCTAACAAGCTGTTGGATAGGAGAGTACAGAGAAAACATGAAACAGTGTTGTGTTGTAGGGAGAGAGAAATGGTATATTATAATTGTACTCTCAGTTAATGAAGACTGTTGCATTTTGTGTGTACTGCTTACACCACAGATACACTCTAGCTGTGAACAGAGATGGTCGTGCCATGGCTCAGGTGTTTAATCACCAGCTTCCCACCACTCTGGCCCGAGTCTGAGGCCAGGTCAGATCATGTGGGATTTGTGGTGAACTAAGTGACACTGGGGCAGGTTTTCTCCAACTACTGCAGTTTCCCCTGCTAATCTTCATTCCACAAACTGCTTTACACTCATCATCCAGAGTGGTACAATAGGCCATTTAATGACTGATGTACCAATTGGACTCAGTCTCACCCCTCCCCAAGAAACTTAAAAGAAAAGTACGTATGGATAGAGGTAAATTTCCCCCACCAACCTGAACTCAGTTTTAAAGCACAGAAGAATATTTGCTCCTGACACGCCAAGAGTTTTTTTAATACAATAGCATTTTAAAAATAGGTAGTATATGTATCCTTGTGGGGTCTTAAGAACAACAGCATTTTTAGAAGAAGACAAAATAAATTGGCATATATGTGTATGTAGGGTCTGAATAACCATAATTGTGTTTGTTCCTTAAAGCATGGAACTTGACATTTTACAGGTTACAGGTTTTCTTCATTTTCAAAATAAATTATTTTCCTGAACAATTTCAGAATTACCAGTGTTGGCAATCTAGAAGTTGTGTGTTTAGTTGGATATGGGAACCAAAGTACTGAATTGACAGTGTTCATACACGCATATGAACTTTTGGTTTCCATAGAAGGCAGGGAATTTCTTGACAAACTGTGAAACTATTATCTTTTCAAGTGGGATTCTGCTGCATGAAGTATGTTAGTATTTATCCAGGTATGAAATTAGATTCTTCCTAATTTAGCATTTACAGAAATTTATGGTTATTTTATAATTGCAGAGAAAGCAAAATATATCACTGGGATGAATATTTATATCACTCGAACACAGATTTTAGTCTACTAATATCCATAACTCTGATGTGATCATATTATAGCAAAATAATCCATTGCTAGACAATGTATTGGTAAAACACATTTCACGGCAATAAACATGCTTGGAGGGATCAAAGCATTACCCTGAAATAATACGTGGTTTCTGAGAAAATGCGTTACACGGTAATGGAACCCTTAGACACAGTGATCTCTATTGTGGCCACGTGACAGTTATAAGAGGCATTGGATTCGTGAATTCGAGAGAGAGTAAGACTAGAGATCAGTCTGGGTTTAGTGAGGGATTCATCAGATATTAAGGAGTTCAATTTGTTATAGTCAACTGTAACTGTAAAGGTTCGGCCACGCAGTGCGCTACGCTCTTCGCTACGTAAGCTGTGTACACTCTGTGATGCAGCTAATATAGGGAACATAGCATATGGAAGTTTGTGTGGCCAATCACATTGGCAGTAAAGGGAGATATTTTTCTGTTCGTATAGCGAACATAGCATATGTAGCGCTCTGTGTGGCCGAACCTTTAAGAAGTGCCAATAAACTCAATTGTCAAAACCAGAACCCATGATTATTAGTCACGTCAACCCCTTACACGTGACAGTATAAACACAATATTTGGTGGGATTTAATGTTTTAAAAAGTTACAGATGCTTTTGTTCTATGATAACAGGTTGCTGTTACGTGCATCTGCATCTTCGTGATATTGCCATTGACGCTTGTGGGTACGGTGCTTGGGCGCAATTTGGCAGGACAGCCAGACTTCCCCTGCCGTATCAACGCAGTACCGCGTCCAATACCAGAGAAAAAGTGGTTCATGGAGCCTGTAGTAATTGTTGTTCTTGGTGGAGTCTTGCCATTTGGTTCAATCTTCATAGAGATGTAAATACATCGACCTTAGTTTTCATCACAAACTCTGATTACAGTAAAACCTTGTTATATTGCTTCCATCTCTAACTTATGTATATCTTCCCAAAAATTGTGTTTGATGGTTGTGGGGTGCAAAGTATGCAAACACTATTTTTCATAGTATAAGTTTATGCATCAAATTGAATGTGTTGCGGTAATGTGGTTAGGGACATTCATGCTTGCAGATTATATCACCTGATTACTTGACAAACACTGATAAACTTCAACCAATGCGTAACTTATGCTGAAAATGCAATTAAAGTTGGTGCTGTGTGGGAACATGGTATGACATATTCATGCTTACCAACTTCACCATGCAGTTCCTTGATCAAGGGCAAGAGTTCTTGATAAAATTTGAATTTGCGTGTCATTTTCGTGGGAAATATGATGGGTGGATATTCATGGGTGATGGTCTAATGGTCAGAGTTCCTGGCTACAGATCCCGGCGCTACCAGAGTTTCTGAGAAGTGGTGGGTCTGGAATGGGGTCTACTCAGCCTCATGAGGATAATTAAGAAGCTCTTTCAAGGAAATAGCGGCTCTGGTCTGGAAAACCAAAATTAATGGCCATGGGGATTTGTTGTGCTGACCACGTGACACCCTCTATCCGCTAAAGTTGGTAGTAACTTCGCCGACAAGCAGTGGTCACTTGGTCGGTATAGTTTGCTTGCAGACTACAGGCCATGGAGTTTCTTTTTGTGTTTGTGGCCTCCATTGTATGATTCTTGATTAACACTGAGATGAAAGTGTCCCTTGATATTTTCACCATAACACATTTAACTTTAATTGTCCCTTTTTGTGTGTGTGTGTGTGTGTAAATTGGGTGTCAGTCAAGATTGTGTGATGGATAAAGTATAGAATTTAATTTGTTTCACAGAATATCATGTTTAGAAGTATGGGTACATAAACTATGCGAACAAGTATGATAATTAGTGTCCATTGTTTATCTTCTATCAAAATTGCAAATACAACACCACAGGCTGTGGATGAAGCACACACAAACCAGGAGCATATGGCAGTCAAAAACTGAAAGTAGACCACAAACATGAGGGGCAAACTGCCGAGAAAAACACCTTGATACATTTACGAAAATGACGACACCCCGGGTGAGGTGAAATAATATGCAACAGAAGTTTTAAAGGATTTTATCTCGTTTTACTTAAAAAGACAACTACAGCGTGTGTTTTAACATGAATTAAAACAGTGTAGCAGTTTTTAACACAGTTTTAGTAAAATATCTGTAACATAAAAACACCTGAAGATGGCCGTTTGAGGCTGAAACATGTAGTGTTGAAGTGTAGAATGTAAAAGTGTTGCAATTTTGACGGAAGATAAACAATGGACGCTAATTTGAACAATTGCAACGGGATGCTGAAATACAGAATCTCAAGTACAATAATTTTGTACATGATGGAGACGATTGTTGTCAGATGATACAGGATATGTTGTTTGCAGGTATTTTATCTTCACATCATTTTGGGCGTATAAAATCTACTACGTTTACGGCTTCATGCTGCTGGTGTTCATCATCCTGATGATAGTCACTGTATGTGTCACTATCGTCTGCACGTATTTTCTCCTGAACGCAGAAGACTATCGATGGTAGGTTTACATATGCATGCCAGTAGTGATAAGACAATTTTGAGTTCAGTAAAATGCACACACACCCCATACTTTTTTATCTAGAAAAGTCACCAAATATTGGGATACATGGCTTGTTTGTGAGAAGGTTGGTGACATGTGAGGCTTAAGAAAGGTTGGCAGAACTACTCATTTTAAGTGCCATCATGGCTTTCATAACTTTCTCTTCTTTTCATGTACCCATACACAGCCTCAGTCTAAGATGTGTGAGGTACTGTACACATGTCTGCTAAACACGAGTATGATCGTGGTTCATAATAAATTTGAAATATAGGGTGTCCAGAATAAAAAATGTATGCCTTGGAAACTAATTGTCATACACATATCTGGTTTATGTCATCGAAAAGGAAAACACTGAAAGTTTTTTTTTTCTTACCCGGCTTGTGTGGATACGCTGCCAAATTTCTGCCACCAAGTTAGGAATCACCTGGACAGAGAGATGGTTGGGATGTGAATTGGCAGAGGTGGACAATCGCATGGCCTTCTAGGTCATCAGATTTAACCCTAGTTAGTTTTATGTTGTGGGGTTATGTGAAGAACACTGTCTACCGGGTTAAGATCGACGACCTGCAACACCTGAAAGCTCACATAAGGGGCCCTCTGGCTACGGTAACACCAAACATGCTTCAAGCCTGGATATTTGTCGTTCCACCAATGGAGCCCACATTTAAATTTATTGAGTAAGTTATATATGCAGAAAGAACTTTGATAGTCTTCTTTTGTAGTTGTGTAACCCAGTAATATGTATAATGAATTCTTTCTGAGATATAAAGATTTTATTTTGGATACCTTTCATGCGGACATCCTGTATTAAAGAAGTAGAAGGAATTGGAAATCGTGCTGTTGGCAGAAGATATGATAGTGAAAAATGAATAAAGAGGGTAGAAAGAACTGATGCTACAGATGAGTGGCATGAGAGGGTTTCTCATATCAAGAAAACAGATATCCTGAAGTAGAAAGAAACCTCGAAATGAACGAGAATCAGTAGTAGTTTTTGTTTCTTAAAAAAAATGGTCCATTTTGCTTATTCAAGAGTTTGTAATATTCAAGAAGGCATGGTGTATAGGGCATTATTTTCAGAAGTTTCTCAAACATGAAACCACTTATACTGAATATATATCTGGAGCCTCGCGCCGGTACTAAAAACTGCATGTGTAAATGGTTGTGGACTGGGTGCATTACGAGTATAGTCATAGAATCAGAGTTAGGTTAGTCCAAGTGTAGTAATGTGTTATTTCATATGCTGTTTTCTTAATGTAAATATGTACTGACAATTACTAAAATGCTAAATAACATGAATATCAACCTTCTTGTGAAAGTTTCCTTCTTTTGCGGAGGGAGAGAGAAAAACATGATCGTAATAGGAAAACATGCACAATTTATTCCATACTTTTGTATTTTATAACGTGTAAAACGTCAGATTTTTATGTTTATTTCAGGCAGTGGACAAGCTTTTTGGCAGCAGCTTCGACTTCTGGCTATGTCTACATGTATTCCTTTTACTATTTCTTCTTTAAAACCAAGTAAGTTTATCATTCGATTTTACAGTCTTTGAGGATGAAATTGGTATTGCGAAGTTGAAAAAGTATAAATCGCCAGGTAGTGATCAAATTCAGGGGGGGCTGATTCAATCAGGAGGTGAAACAGTGTGGTTTGAGATCCATAAACTTGTTAATTGTGTTTGGAGTAAGGAAGAATTGCCTGATCAGTGGAAGGAGTCTACTATTATACCAATTTACAAGAAGGGTGATAAATTATCATGTTACCATACTTTGAGCAGACAGGATTCTTTTGCTGTGGTGTACCGTTTTTGTCTTTGTGGAATTTTGTTGTTATAAATTTCGCTTCTTGTTGTGTCTCTTGGTCCCTAGTCTTGGAGCTGTTTTGTTCTCCCTCGGATTCTAAGATTTTTCTTTTGAATGTCTTTAGATCATGTCATGTCTATGTTTTCCAGGATGTATGGCCTGTTCCAGACAGCTTTCTATTTTGGCTACATGGCTTTGTTCAGCCTTGCCCTTGGAATAATGTGTGGGACAGTGGGTTATGTAGGAACAAGTGTTTTTGTGAGGAAGATCTACTCTACTGTGAAAATAGACTAGTTTGAAGAATGAACCACCATTTATTTTAATATGATGTAACAATTCATACGACTTGCAGTAGGTGCGTGTGTTCAGGTTTTTACAGAAGTTGAGAATTTTATGTGATTTATGTAAGAGATATTGCATTTTGTACAGAAATGTGGTATGTGTTGAACGATTAGAATAGTGCACTGGATTTTGGTGGGAAGTTTGATTTTGTTAAATTCTTACAAACTTAATGTTAAATTTCCCATAATACACTCTGTTCCTTATTCAAAGGAAGCTTGATAAGAAGACCACCTTTAGATGCGGCACAGATATCTCAAACTAACAAGATGAAGCATTGTTAATGTTATTTACTTCTGCTTGATTCATTATTTGTAGGTTTTCTTAGTTTCCAGTTCGTGTACATATTTATCTTGTGTGCTGTTTTTAAGACCCAGTCAGATGTGGAACATTTCTAATTAAGAGTGTGTAGTGGGTAATGGTTGGTTAATCAAAATAATAAAGTAAACAGTGGATTTCTATATTCATTTTGGAAATCAGTATGAAACGTTGTTAATAGAACTGATGTTTCTGAAATAACATATTGTAAACTGGTAGTAGTAAGTGAGAAATATCCATGTAAAATGTGAAGGCACTGACTTGATGCAATTTCCAAAAGGCTTGTGTGATCTTAAGGCTTCTGTTTTCTTTGATTAATTTTTAATAAGGTAATGTTTTCTGATCTATGGACCATAACACGTTTTCATGAAAGAAGAGAGTAATGCTAGTGGCATTACATCACATGACTGGGAATTCTTCAGTTTTATATATGAATTCCTCCTCCTCATTACGGCTCGAAAGTCCCAGCGTTAAAGTTCTTATTTTCATTGAATAAACTTGCAGGATTTCACCATTTATCATACCGATACATTATTGACCTAGTAAAATAAGATTTATTATTTAAAAGGCTGAGGTTATTTGTGCAGTATGTGTTATTCTTTAGAAAACATTTATGCACCATCTGTTTGTACGTTATGGAACTTGCATTGAATATTCAAGAGAACCATAATTCATTACCGGAGATGTAATTACTTCGTATTTCTAAACAAAATGTGTGTATATAAAAGGTAGAAAAAATGTCATTTAGTTTACGTACAGTCCAAATATTTCAACTAATAACAAAAACCTTACCTTGTTTGCAGATATGTCCATAAGGAAATTGGATTTTGATCTGAGTAAGACTGGAAAGAGGTGAATTATTTTGTCATAGTTGAAGAGTATTAATTTAATCCGATAGCACAGAACACATTCCTTAGTTTGCAAGTGTGAAAACTGTGTGTTGTTACTTATTTTTTGCTTGGTTTTGTTGGTTAGGCAGACATGTTGTTTGTATCGTGAAGTGGTCATTTCTTGACTTTGTACAGTATTTCTTTAGTTCTGCACTTGTGAGAGAGTCAATGAATGGAAATGCATAGCTGTAAAACATGTATAAATGAATTAACAAATATATTTCATTGTAACTACATTCAAAATTCTGTTAGTAAGCTATGTACTGACTGTATTTGTAATTGGAGAATTTTGTAGTAACAGATTTACAACCCCTCCCCCCCACCCAGAATATACATGTTTTGAAAATATGTACTTTTTTTTTCTGGGTAGCATGGGTAGGCTACAAAGAACTGAAAATGTTTTTCATTTTATGTGTCAGAATGCTTTATTATGAATTTTCTTTATGTTCTGTAACAGTGAAGGGATGACAAATGATTATTACATAACCATAATTCCTATAAGGTAGTGTTCATATGTTCGAGCCCTGCAAAAGAATGAGTCCTGCGGCAGACATTAAACATCTGTTTCTCACTGGATGTGGTGCCATGCTGATAGATCGCGTTCATGTCTGGTGACTGGAAGATGGCTGCATGTGCTTCAGAAACAGATTAAATCCAGTATAGAGCGCTGTTTTGTAAGTTGACAGACCGATTAAACTTTTATCGTATAATAACTGTGTTCATCTACTCTTTGTTATAGATGTTTGGAAGTGTGACTCTGTAACGAAACATTTTTGGTCATAAGGACTTACACTCTCTCTCTGATCCTCTCATGTCGCTTCTTATAATAAATGTACTTGTTTTTCAAACATTCTATATGTATATAGTAGTGAGCGGCCTCCGTAGTCTAGAGGTAACGTTCCCACCTCATGACTCGTAGTACGCGGCTTCAAATACCTGGCCGAGGTCGTCGAATTTTTAAGGGCGGAAAAATTCAGGGAACAAGTCCTCCGGTAGGGACTTTAAGCCGTGGATCCCGTGTCGTAGCTTTATGGCACGTAAAAGAACCTCATATCTCCAAAGGAGGTCACTGAGCCAAATTATGGACGTTTCCCGCCCAACAGTAGTCTCTAATACCTCTGGTAGATGGGGGAAGCATTATAGATACCTCTCAGCTAGTAGAGCCGGTCTCGCTGGCTGGGCGGGACTGATGGTAGGCACCAGTACCGGTAGGATATAGAGACTGGTAGAATATAGAGGGAAGCACAATGGACCAATACAGGTCTAAGTGCATGGGGAAACGCACCCTCTCCAATAACTAACTATATAGTAGTGTATTAATGTTATACCATTAACAGCCAGATGTATATGGGAGTTTAAAATGATGACAAATTACCTACCCGTAGTTTCATACAGATTGACTACAATATGTTGTACATGTCATGTCCATATAATGAACCTTTGTTTGCAGCCAATTTTTCTGGTGTGTGAAGTAAGTAGAATTTGTTGGATTTCAGGTTCCATGGCCGCGACTGGGAAGAGTGCTGTCTTCTAGGATGTAACATGTTGTAGATCGCTAGAGGTTGATGGATGTTTTGGAGGAATGTACTGCCTCCATCTTCAGGGTCAAAGTCTCAAGTATCCAGCAAGAAACAAGATTGCAGCAGCTTGTTGCCTGCTTCTTGATTACAACCTGCTTGATATACTCTTTGACCCTGAAGGTGTGGGGGTAGTACATTTCGTGAAAACATTGAACTTCTACTGGAGCACTGCAATACATACCCAGGTCATAGTGCCCTTCTAAATAAGGTTTCTTTAATTAATACCTATCTTTAAGACAAAACACACATAACCCCCCACCCAAGAATGGATTAAGAGCACCTTCTATAGTTTTTGTTGTTACAGATGTTTCTTTTTTGCAAGGTTTAGCATATGCTATTAAAAAGACTATCTTATTTGCAGCATTTAACACATCAAGTTCAGATATCTTCTGGAGTTGTAGTTCTCCATTTTAATTCCCTTCCTTTTATGCATTCTTTTAGTATGCTTCAAATAAAAAAAATGCTGATATGACTCCCAATGCTTGTCTGTCAATCACATCTTTGAATTTTGGAATTTTTTTTTATTGAATTGAAACTTGGTATGAGAAATGGCAGACAAAGTTTCTGGAATACAAATATGAGAAGAAACAGCCTTTTATGATTGATACTTGTAATATATTCAGGCTGATAGTCCGAAACTTTTGATATAATGGTTTCTCTGCTATATGCCTGTGGTCGGATTTTAGAATTGGTGCAGGGTTTAGGATTTCTTATTCTAGTTCGTGTTGCAGCCAAGAGATGTACATTACGCTGAGTAGACCAAAGTACGCCATTCAAATTTCAAGCTTTGTTAAAACACAGTGTATTAAAAAAAATAACTTTCATATTGCTCAAAATGACTGAGTTTCAGATAATACATTTCTAGCTGGGTCTGAATATGTTCAACTGTTGTTTTTAATCTCGTTCAATATAGCCTAACTTGAGAGGAAAGTGTTAGGGTCTTCCAATGTGAACAGTTGTTACAGTCTTTCATTTCCATGGTTCTTTCTTTCTTGTGCAGTGCCAATTTGTGATAAAGAAGATGGTGATTTTTTTTCATTGTATAGAATATATAATAATCAAGAGTGTGTGTGTTCAGTTGTTATTTATGTTTCATATGTTATTCCAGGTTACAAATGCTTGACTTTATTCTTAGCATATTTGTGATACATAATTTCTAGCACTTACCGTTTCTTTCAGTAGATGGCATTATAAAGTGTGTTATGTTACGAAAAGCAGTATCAATTTATTTCTCAATGTGTTAACATTCGAAGAGCCACAAACTTAAAAAGGTTTAAAGACTCAGATATCTTAACTGTTGGAATGGTTGTTTCAGTGTAGCAACAACCATTCAGGTTTTTTATATTCATGTATGAATATTTTTGACATATATACGCTGTAATTCTGATTATCCCACATAGATTGCAGTCATGACCATTGGTAATACAAAAGGCCTTTCTCTTATGAGACAGCAGAAAAGTATAAATGTAGAGATTGGCGTAACTAGTCATTTGAAAGTAATCGCAGCTAATCGGTATATGCATTATAGGCTCTCCCTGTATGATGATATTTTATTTGTAAACTGATACTGAACAGTGCTTCAGTCTTCATCAGAAAGTGAAATCATAGTTCTTTTTTCATATATTTCAATCTGTTACTAAACTTGCAAGTAACTCCAAATTTTTGTTTCCTTAATGTCTGCTCTATGTGAAAACAATGTATTTTATAACCACTGACAAAAAATAATATACTTTATACCTTTTTTTTTTCACGTTCTATCCTGGCTCCTGGTACTTGTAAGTAGAGCATATATCTGTAGGAAAAAATGTAGAACCTCCCATACTTTGAATCTGCCTGTAGTCCACAAGCGAACTATACCGACTGAGCAACCGCCGCTTGTTGGCGAAGTTAGTGCCAACTTTCGTGGATAGAGGGTGTTTCATGGTCAGCACAACAAATCCCCACGGCTGTTGATTTCGGTTTTCTAGACTGGAGCTGCTATTTCCTTGAAATAGCTCCTCAGTTATCCTCATGAGACTGAGTGGACACCAGTCCAGACCCACTACTTCTGGTAGCGCCAGGAATCGAACACGGGACTTCTGGATCTGTAGCCAGGAACTCTGACCACTAGACCACTGAGGTGGTCAGTTCGGAAGATAACAAACTGAAATACTATGAAGGGAAGTCAAAAAGTTCCTGGAATGGTGGTATAGCGCTCTAAGGACATACGGCAACGCTTACCTAATGACCTTCAAAGTAGGACCCTTGCACGCACACACACTTGCTCCATCGATCCTGCCATTGTTGGAAGCAGTGGTGGAAGGCTTCTTTTGGAATCTTCCGGAGCTCAGCCGTTGCATTTGATTTGATGTCCTCCATGGTTGCGAAACATGTCCCCTTGAAGCCCATTTTCAGAGTAGGGAACAGCCAAGTCACTCTGAGCGAGATCGAGAGAGTACAGTGGTTGAGTGATGACACGAATGTTTTTCTCGGTGAGGAATTGCTGCACAACAAGCGATATGTGGCTCAGTTTGTTATTATGATGCAGAAAGCACTGTCCCTGCCACTTGTCGCGCCTCTTCCTCCGAACTGCATCGTGCAACCTCTGCAAAACTTGCACGTAGAAATGGCCAGTAACAGTACCAACTTCTTGCTCCAACTCCACAATGGTCATTCTGTGATCACATCGAATCAGTTGTCACACTTTTCTAATCATTTCCTCAGTTCTGGATGTCGAAGGACTCCCACTTCACTGGTCATCCCCTAACATCTCCTGCCCATTCTTAAACCGAGAAAACCAGTCGTAAACTGCTGATTTCTTTAGTGCAGTATCACCGTAAACTTGCTGCAGGGCCGATAGCATCTGTGAAGCAGATTTTCCCAATTTGCACATGAACTTGATGCTCGCACGCTTTTCGAACTGCGACATTGCGCTGAATGACCAACACTCACATCTAATTTAAACGGAACAGTAACTGAACACTGAAACCTGTCCAGACCTGTTGCGCCTGCGAGCAGACATGCTGAGCTTCCCACCACAACAGTGTGCACTATCTTATCGCTCGTTCTCCATCTGCAAGGGAATTCCAGGAACTTTTTGACTGTCCTACGTATATCTTATAATAAGTAAATAAAATACAGAAGATGTATTCAGATTCACTAATATTCTGGGTCTTAACTCTTGTACTCCCCAATATGAAATCATTTATTAAGAGTGATAGACTGTACTGAAATGCCCTAAGTAAAAGAAAATGGATATTAAGGGAGATAGGATGGGATGGTATGGATTCAATTGATGTGTCTCAGGATAGGGACCAGTGGAGGGATCTTGTGAACACTGTAATGAACCTTCAGGTTCCATAAATTCTCGAGTAGCTGCACAATTGGCGGCTTCTGAAGAAGGGCTCAGCTCCATGAGTGAGACAGTAATAAATATGTATAATCAAACTTCTTACACTAATTAGTGGAATAATCTAGATGTTTCTCTCCACTTACCAAAGTGGAACACCCATGAAAACATTCAGATAATGAAAAATACAAAAGCATGAGCGATATTTAAATTATATAAAATTAATTCGTGAGTTCCCAGAGGAAAGTTTTGTAGAGCCCTTCCAGCTAAATAGTGGGTATGACTGGATCATCTGCAAGCTTGTACGTTCTCCATCCACATTCTGTAATTGACACAGGTCATTTGGTTTTTGGTTATCTCTGGTTTGAGGCTTCTGCCTAGTTTTTGGCAGACTTGTTTGATATTGGCACTGCCAACTCAGGATCAACAAATCTGCATGGATTTATTCTGCTCCCTAAGCTTTGACATGACAAAGTGGCTTGTGCAAAATGCAGTTCGTACCATGGTGCAACTGTAAAAGTAAAAAAGCTAGATTACAGATTGCAGACGTAACACAACGATGGGCCTGCAAATAGAAAAAAACATCTGAAGTAAAGAATACAGATCAAAACAAGTGGATGACATCCCTTGTGGGGTGTAATAAGAATTTCACAAAATTTTAATAGATTTTATTTGATATTAATTAAGTGAACTACATAGTGTGCTATTTTAGTGCATACCAGTTGACTACCAGTATGACATCTTAAACCATGAAGCGTGCAGTCACATATGTGACGAATGAACAGTATTAGTACAGGGTAACAGTTTTAGCATAGTAAGACACCTGAAGATGTCTATTTAGTGCCAAAAGTGTAAGAAAGAAGGAACAATTTGTTGCATTGTTGATGGGCTGTGTAGTACATAAACAGTGTTAAAAAGTGTTAAAGTTGTCCCTGTGCTCAATTAAGTACCATGCCATGAAGGGTAGGAGGTGGGCCCCAGAGCTGGTCTGGATGCTGTGGAGAAGTGAAAAATCTCTTGCCCATGCCAGGAATCGAACACAGGTTATTCAGCATGTCGCTATAATGACTGAGCTACCCTGGCCCCTTAAATGTAAAGTCACAGTACTTAATTAAGCACCATGCTTTGCAGACACATGAATGGAGGTAAAAATCCACCATCTTGACCTTGGCCCTAGATAGAGATGTGTGGTGTTCGTACTGCTGTGATATCCTTATATCAGTTCATATAAAAATGCAGATAATATTGTAATTGTAAAAAATTATAACAAGGATATAAGATCAGAACTATTTTTGGTTGCTCAGACGTCTGTTACTGTAGACTTCATAGATTCCAGAGGGTTCTCACAGTGTATACTACTCACAATTACTGGATTTTTGGACCTTGCCCATTGTCCGGTATTCTAGAAACTAAAAAAAAAAAGAACGTTTCTTTTAACCCAGTAATTCTTTGATGACTTCGTGTTGATAATTTAAATTTTTAATACAACTTACTCATGGAGCTGAGCCCTTCTGGAGGAGCCACCAATTCTGCAGCTACTCAAGAATTTCCTAGCATTTTATGGAACCCGAAGGTTCATTACCATGTTCACAAGAGTCCTCCACTGGTCCCTATCCTGAGCCAGATCTATCCAATCCATACCATCCCATCATATCTCTCTAAGATCCATTCTAATATTGTCCACCCACCTACGCCTTGGTCTTCCCTGTCATCTCTTTCCTTCTGGCTTTCCCACCAATATCCTATACGCATTCCTGGTCTCCTCCATTAGTGCTACATGTCCTGCCCACCTCATCCTCCTTGACTTGATCATTTTAATTATACTTGGAGAAGAGTACAAATTATGAAGCTCCTCATTATGCAGTTTTCTCCAACCTCCTGTCACTTCATCCCCCTTCGGCCCAAATATTCTCCTCAGCACCCTGTTCTCAAACACCCTCAGTCTATGTTCCTCCCTTAATGTCAGAGACCAAGTTTCACACCCATACAGAACCACAGGCAAAATTATAGTTTTGTATATTCTAATTTAACACTCACACTTATGCTTGCTAGGTTTGTGCCGAGATCATACCAGGGATCGAATCCTACTTGAGTCAGAATTTGTGTACTGCTTTTAATTGTGTTTTAAGAACTTATATCATTGTTAGTATTTCCCTCTGGGGATGAAATTGCGGCCCACATAACATTCTACATTAAATTTACCAGTTCTAATTAAAGTTTCTCACCGTTACAATTTTTGTAATTGTTGAGTTGGGAACGTTTGATGTATAATTTATGCGTATGTTTGTGGTCTATCGGTATACCAAATTTCACATTACTAGCCCCTAAGATTCTTTCATTATCGCCGTCAAACCGAAATCAAAATAGAATCCGTAGGGGAAGAGTTATGTGTTCTGCAATATAACGCCATATAATCCCTGAAAGTCAGCCGACGTTTCGGATAAATATGTGCCTTCATATTCAGGGTCGAAAGTTAAGCCAAGCGGGTAGCAGCAACGTCGGTGGACTTTTAAGTCTATACGGTGTTATATCCCAGAAGACAGAATTCTTCATAACCATCTCTGTGAGAATCCCTGATCCTACATAGAATTTTAAGGTGTCATCCAGCCGCCATGTTATTTTACATTGTACAGAAATTACCTTAAAAAAATCTGGATATTTTTTGAAGATCCCCACACTTAGTGTCGCTAGAGTCCCTCCTCACAAGTTCGTGCGTCCGCCATGTTATTGTCAAGTTATTGACTTTCAGCCCAGTAATCAACAATATAAAACAGTAAGGAAAATCAACAAGCATACGATGGCAGATTTTGTCACAAAATTAAGTAATGAATCATGGGACAATGTATTTGACAGCAATAATATTGATTCTAAATTTAATTGCTTTCTGAACACATACTTGAGGATCTTTTATTCAAGCTTTCCCTTAAAAATAGTCAAAAATGAAAATAAAAACAAATCCACCTGGATAACAATTGGAATAAAAACTTCATGTAAACACAAAAGACAACTATATTTGGCCAGTAGGGACAGTAATGATCCAAGACTAAAAAGTCACTACAAAATGTACTGTAAAATTTTGTCAAAAGTCATTAAAGAAGCCAAACAGAATAACTATAACAGCCAAATTCTAAAATCAAACAATAAAATTAAAACCACCTGGGATATTGTGAAAGTTGAATCAGGAAAGAAATCTGTTAATGAAGACGTACAAAGTTTGAATATTGAAGGGAAGTCCACTAACAATCCACAAGCTATCGCAAGTGCATTTAATGAATATTTCCTTTCATTAGCTGAGAAAACATATTCCAATAATAATAATAATAATAATCATCATCCAATATACTATCTGTCTCGTGCCTTTAACAATTCATTTCCAAATATCAATCTCAAATTCTCAACAAGGAAGGAAATTGAAAACATTATTAAATCCCTTAAGCCCAAAAATTCACATGGATATGATGAAATCTCTACCAAATTACTTAAAGCAAGCTCTGTTTACATCAGTTCACCCTTGAATCATCTATGTAATAAATCTTTATCATCAGGTACTTTTCCTCAACGCTTAAAATACGCTGTAATGAAACCACTTTTTAAAAAAGGAGAGAGAAAATGCATCTCTAATTACAGACCAATATCCATATTGACTTCATTCTCAAAAGTCTTTGAAAAAGTTATGTATAATAGACTACTTGAACACTTAAATTCTAACAACATATTAGTCAAAGAGCAATTTGGATTTAGGAAAGACCTAACAACAGAAAAAGCAACCTATGAACTAACTAACGATATTTTAAGTGCTCTCAATGACAGATTAATTGTGGGAGGGATTTTCTGTGATCTAGCAAAAGCTTTCGATTGTGTTAATCATGATATCTTACTATCGAAATTAAATTTCTATGGAATAACTGGCAAAGCTAATGAATGGATCAAATCATACCTCAAAAACAGGTATCAAAGAGTTGAAATAAATAATAAAAACTCCAGTCATAATGCATTTTCAAACTGGGGAATTATAAAGCACGGTGTTCCACAAGGATCAATTTTAGGTCCCTTACTTTTTCTTCTCTACATAAATGATCTATCTAAAACCATCAACAATAAATCTAAACCAATTCTATATGCAGATGACACTAGTATAATATTTAAGAACTCTAAATTTGACAACTTTAAAAATGACATAAATATTGTATTTGAAGCCTTAAACAGATGGTTCGAAGCCAATTTACTCTCATTAAATTTTGATAAAACCCATTACATATCATTCACAACTAAAAACAACCACCAAATTGATCTGGACATCAGTTATGCCAACAAATTAATCTGTAAAGTACTTGATACAAAATTCCTTGGAATACATGTAGACAGTACACTGTCTTGGAAAATACATATTGAACAAATTATACCTAAATTAAATGCAGCTTGCTATGCGATGAGATCAATTAAGCCTTTTATGTCACAGGAAACATTGAAGATGGTTTACCATGCCTACTTTCATTCTATTATGAACTATGGATTAATATTTTGGGGGAACTCTTCACATAGTGTAATAATTTTTAAAATACAAAAGAATATAATTAGAATCATTACAGGATGTAGAAGTAGAGATTCATGTAGAGAATTATTTAAGAAATTAAAAATTCTACCTCTTCAATCGCAATACATATTATCGCTTCTCTTATTTGTTGTTTACAACAAAGATAAATTCAAATTAAATTCTGATGTCTATAACATGAATACTAGACAAAAATATAACTTCCACCTACCCTCATCAACTTTATCAGTATATCAAAAAGGAGTCTACTTTACTGGCATAAAAGTGTTCAACAATCTGCCACAAAGTATTAAAAACTTGGGCAATGATACTAAAAAGTTTAAATCAGAGTTAAAGAATTATCTACATGCTCATTCCTTCTACTGTTTAGATGAATACTTCAATGTAAATAGAGAATGATGTAAAATTAAGTTATATTAATTTTTAAGCTAAAATTGCCTGTACTTATGTATGTAACCTTTTGACTTGTTCTGTATCCAAAGGTACTAACCTGCTTAGGATTTATAGAATGTAAATAAATTCAATTCAATTCAAAAGTGTATGGAAATAAATTGTGCGAGGTTAGTGAGATCAGTTTTTTTTAAAATCGGTCAGTTGGTCAAAAGCTGAAAAGGGGCACACACAATCGTTATGGTGATCCTTTATTTTCCTTATGAAGAGAAAGTGGGCTAAAAACAAGATTATTGTGAAAATGTAAGCTTTGTGACCCATAGTACAGATATGCGTATTTACTGTTTATGCGGCGCGCACACAGCAGGATACAGTAAAGTTGGGGGCACGCGGTAGCGTAGTTGGTTGAGGCACTGTGCTACAAGCAGGAAGGTCATTGGATATTTCAGTTTACCTAACCCTTGCAGCCCCACTATGGCTTTGGAGTCGACTCAGCCTCTAACAGAAATGAGTTCCAGGGATCTTCCTGGGGGTAAAGAACGGGCGGCGCGTAAGGCTTATAACCTCGCCGCCATCTGTGATCCGACTGTCTAGAGAAAACGTGGGAGCCTCGACGTCTCACAACCCTATGGACCTCCACGGTCTGTTACAGGGGTAGTAGCTTCTATAGTAAAGTTGAGGCCCACTCAAAATAACGTTTAATGCGAACTCTTCAACACATTGAGAAAACCAGCCGTAATTTATACCAAAAAAAAAAACCTCTGTGGCCTGTAGTCTGTAAACGAACTATACCGACCTAGCGACCGCCGCTTGTCGGCGAAGTAAGTGCCAACTTTAGCGGATAGAGGGTGTCGCGTGGTCAGCGCAACGGATCCCCACGGCCGTTAATCTCGGTTTTCTAGACCGAAGCCTGTATTTCCTTGAAACAGCTCCTGAATTAGCCTCACGAGGCTAAGTGGGCCCCGTTCCAGACCCACTACTTCTATAAAGAATCTGGTAGCGCCGGGACCTCGGGAACTGTGGCCACAGAGGCGGTCGCCATAGTTTATATCGTGTTAAGATTAATATATTTTTTTTTATTTCGATGCGTTTTTTCAACTATGTGCAATCATGCTAATAATAATTGATGGTCATCTCACAATTGTTTAAGAGATTAGCTTACCAGAACTTGGGGAATCACCGCTATTGTGCGAGCAATATTGTCGTAGGTCGAGCAGTGACGTAGTTTCCCCAAAACTTTGTATGCGAACACAAGGAATCGTTTTCAGTTACAAGGGCTTACTGGACAGCGGGGGAAAAGTGACAAATGGAATAATAATAATAAAGAAATGAGGTTCCCATACACGAACAGCACTCATTGACCGTGACGTGCGAACATTCTGCTGGGTCATCTCAGTCGCCCATCTGTCGTAAGTGCAGTCCGCTATCCTGCGTTCCGTATGGTACATTGTTAGTCATCCACCTCTCAAACCATGACTTTTGCAGTAAATGCATTATTCAGTTAAAATAATGTTATCCCGTTTAATTTTCCCTTGGGGCTGTAACACCACGAAGGTGTATGTATGAGGCGTGTGAAGTTGAAATTTCACTTATCCTAGACCTCAAGATAAACGGAGAGTTATCAGCTTCACGCTCCATACCCTTGATCCCCAGACTAAAGAGCTGTAGGCACTAAAAACGAAAAGAATATGGGTCAAGCTTTTGTAATGTCCGTTGAAAATTCTCCAGAAAGCTTCATGTCCTATATAAATTATATCGTATGCAGATCAAGCATATTTCAAAGTCTGTAGGCTGGGCTACCGGGAAATCACAGTTCGATATTTGGGCAGAGATTTTTAACTTACGTTCCTTATTTTGAAAGATGAAAGTAGGCTTATGAGAACTCCATGCTGTCTTTGAACTCCCCTCCCCTTATCAACTTTTGAATTTCTGAACCAATCTTTATGAAATGTGATATATATATATATATATATATATATATATATATCATGGTGACAGCCGACTCAACGTACTCCATAAATCCCTCCAATCTGTTTTGTGTGTCTATGTGTATCTCCTTAAAGTTGCTAGGCAGCGGCTCGGTAAAAATGTTACCGCGGCAACGAATATGCGGGCCGTATTGTATCTAAGAAAATATGCTATTAATTCTTCCCAGAACTTCTTGTCTCTTCACAGCATCAAGACTGGCCCTGAAGCCCACCCAACATCCTCTCCAGTGGGGGTTGTTTTCCCCAGAGATAAGCCATTCCTGGAATGAAGATGACAATGCTACATTTCTGGTTCAACCTTACAGGAGCGACACTAACAATAAGCGTACCAGGTGAATATAAACATTTTTTCGTAGTATGACTTTATGAATATTTTGTTATAAATTTCATACAGAACTTCAACTTCACAAGCATTTCTTAACCTGTTTCAGCTCACTGAAGTGGAACCCGGAAGATGTCATTGCCCTTTGAGGATTAAATTGCCAATATGCAATTTTATTTGACAACGCAAATTTCAGATGTCACTTATAGGATAAATTTCCTGGAAGTTACTCGGGAAATGAGTCCGGTAATATTCTGCATTTTCTTTAAGTAGAAACACGTTTATCTGTCTCAGTGTTAAAGCTGGTGGTGATGTTTCTTAAAAAGACATTTGGAACAGCGTTATGGGTGAAGGCTTCTAGCGACTTCATTTCATAATTTCCTTGGAAGATCAACCGGAAATGGGGCGGGGGAGAAAACCAAAAGAATATCATCATACGAAGACAAAGTATAAATTCATCCGACATTTTTCGGCGTAGAACCCCAACACCAAATTTTATCTAAATCTGTTCATTAATTTAGGAGATGAAATATACAACAGAACATTTATTTTCGCATTCAGCTAATTCATGTTATGCAAGGAATTCACACAAATTCATCCGAAAAATAAACACTCCGTTTTCATAACGGAAACCATTCTAGTATAGAAAATATTTGCTGTTTATTGTGAGAATCAGGCAAAACCCAGAAAGACATTCCGAGTAACTTAACACTAAAACAACGACACATACAACTACCAGCTCTCAATAATAAGTTAAGCAAGATAATAAAGAATTGAACAATGATTCTTCTGTTGTTCACACTTTTCCACCTGCATGGGCTCTAAGGATACTGCAAGCAAGAATGCTGTGGGAAATTGGTGAAGACATGGAAGGATGTACTTGTCACTTCTTTTGAAGTACTTTTCCGGCATTTCCATAGAGTCATAGAAAAAAATATATTATGAAAACCGTCAGGACAGCCGGTTAACCAGCAGGGATTCAAATCGGGTACCCCAGGATTCAAGATCAGAGTTTTACTGGTGCGTTTACCTTCGAAGTAACGTGCAACTGTTGTGATGTTTTTATTGCAACTGGAAGTCGACGAAGTTATGGAGGAAGGTCAAACCAGACCCGCTTAATGGGTTTGTCCGATTCGCTGCTTTATGAGCAGGCCACAAATAAAGCGAGAAATAATTTGCCAGCTTTCTTGAAAACGCATTTCAGAATTGCAGTGGGATCAAAAGTTATTCCAGGTGGGAAGTGTGGGGAATTATGAAATACACACCCATTAAAAGGAACAGACAAACCACAGGGAGTGTTGATGAGCGTTTTATACGGCATGAACTAGTGGGGAGAGAGGAATAAAAAAGCTGTTCATAGTAGAACAGTGCAGCACGAGACTAGAGTTAGGTTAGAGCCATTTCAAAACCTGAGCTACAAATTTACGGGCCAGGACAATGAAGATGGAATAAAATAAGGAATGAGAAGACAAATGAAATAGAGATAAGTGACAGACGAACAAGAAAATAATAATAATAAAAGCCTTTTTTTACGGATGTATTATAAACCGTTTATTGATTCCCACTGCGGCGGCTCTGGTTCGATGCCAGGTCAGGTCATGTTGGATCTATGATGGACAAAGTTCAACTGGAGTAGGTTTTCTCCAAAATTAAAAAATTCTACATGTCCTTTGGTTTCCTAGGTCTTTAAAATATTAAGAAGATTGAATGTATTTAGAATAAGGTACTCACAGGAACAGTCTTAACCTTACTTTTCGTCCAGTGATTGAGGCTAGCTCTTTCTAAGGGACCCAACAGAATAGGTGTTTTCCCTCACCTGAGGACGGAAACAGATCCAGTTTCCGAAACGTCGTGTTTTCCTTAGTTATCTTAAGAAACCAGGACGATAGACAAAATCCGAAAACCCAATATCTCTGTGTGTTATACACCATCGTCAGAATCCTATAGTAACTACTTACTTTTAGCATTCCATCGCCCAACTGAAAAGTAGTAAGGATGTAGTAAACAGATCTTCATTTTATTTCTAGAGCCTTTTGTGTTAATTTTTATTCTGTTTTTAACTATTCCTCCTCTGTCGATATCCCAAATATTTCTGATATTACTACTTTAGTATGTTTTAAATGTTCCTTACATTTCCGGCTCTGAAGTAAAGCACGCGATTCCGTGTCGAAATGCGTGGGTCCAGACGAAATCTCCAGGTATGTTATTAAATGTTTCCTTAAGATTTGTTCTCCTCTTTTAAGTTACATTTTTAATCTTAGTTTATTATGAAGGAACTTCCTTTCTCAGGGAAGCAAGTGCATGCTTTAATGGCTGATGGCCGATCACAATGGCCACATAATCTAAGACACGAAATATCTTCTTACACTCATAATCACATATCATAGGTTTGAATCCCACTCGAGGCATACATATCTCTCTGCATTTTATGTGTTTTTGTTGTCCTGTGTAGGTAGCGGCCTTAAGATTGACTGATCCCCCGTCCAAGGAGTCTTAACAACTTGGGGAAAGTCGAAAATTATCGTAGCTGAGGCCTGGAGCAGTTGGGGGACTCAGATTTAGGGGAACGTCCGCCGTTGGAAGCCGCTACCCAGCAACAGCTAAGGAAGACTGAGAAGACTTTGTAGTAGTTATAGTGTGTAACTCAGTCAATACTGTCGTAGTTATTTGTAGTTGCGACCTGTAAGTGTTCAATAAATTCGATTACCAATCCAAACCCCGTCTATAGTTAATTTGAAATCTTGACCATATATTGCCTTTGTAACATGTACCTATATGTAATTCCACAATTTAACCATTTTCTTTTTCAGGTTTTATTTTTTGTACAGTCCTATAGAGCTGAGAGTTTATGGTTTTTTATTTCTAGAATAAATACCCACTTCCACATACGAGTACACGCGGTTTGTTCACCGTCCTGAGCGTCTCTGCACTTAATTTCGGAAGTCGAACATCTTCTCCCTTCAAATAACAATGAAGAACCACAATCACCAGGATCGCTATTGTAGATCAAGTTCAGGAACTTGCTCCCCCATACCGAACGTCGAATCATTGGAAGAGTCTCTGATGAACTGGGTTTGGTGCATTTGCAACGAAAATAAGAAAAAATACATCTATTAGCTTCGCCGTTTCTGTCCGTCTATCCTAATGTAACAAGTCGAGAATCGCTGAACAGATTTTCATGAAATTTCGTATTGGTGAGCTGTACTAAAATTTGACGACATATCTCAGTTTTGGCTAAAATCAGAAGACCGTAATGGACATGCACTTAAATATATGCATGCGTTTCCACTTACAGCTCGTGCGCTAAATATTTATTGGAGCAAAGAGAATTTTTAGGAAACTGTGTACGAATATAAAGGGAAAATGAATATGCATTTATGTGCAATATCTTTTCGGTGAGTCTTTCCGGTTTTTGACGTTCAGACTAATGAGCCCGGCGCCAGAATTCTTACGCTATCGTAGATCCCACATTTCTTTACTTGGGTAAAAAAGGTAATAAGGTAAAGCTATCCTTTTAACAACCCCTGGAGGCCCATAGGGTTGTGAGACATCGAGGCTCGCACATTTTCTATACAATCTGTTCATAGATGGCGGTGAAGTTATTAGTCTTGCGCGCCGGTCGCCCTTTACCCCCAGGAAGATTCCTGGTACTCATTTCTGTTAGAGGCTGAGTCGACCCCAGGGCCATCGTGTGGCTGGAAGGATTAGATCAATTTGAAAAATTGCAATGACCTCATGGGGAATCGAATCCGCGACTTTCCGGCTTGTAGCATAGTGCCTCAACAAACTACGCTACCGCTAGTATCGCTGTATTTGTGTTACAGGCCATTTTGTGGAACAAAGCTACCCCATAAGTCGTGGTATATGTGTAATGAAAATTACCACCAACAGTATTTTCAAAATTAAATCGAATGTTTCTTAACTGTGTGTTCTATGTGTCTTTACGTGTGCTTCATGTTTCTTCTCGTGACAGGGGATTACGACAAACGTAGATGTAGAAAGTTTAGAAGAAACGATGCCGCTAATTGTACATGCAAGTGGGAACGATTGGTAATGGCATACGCAGGTAAACAAATATTCAAACGGTGAACAAATAAATCACTCACAAAGACACGACAATTGAGCAGAGTTCAAAACGTCATTTGTGTAATGTTTTTCATACAAAAACACAGCCTTCGGCCATTTCGGGGCACACATATCTGTGAATAGGTTATGTTGGAACGAAAATAAATATAAATTGACTTGAGGTTTCTATGACCTACAAAAACAGACAAACCAGTCAATAGAAGAATGTCATATAACAGAGTAGGGTGAATCTGATATGAATTGAAAATGTTTTAGTATGAATCATGACAGGCAGTTGTTTCTGAAAGACACCATTTCTAAAGTTTCCCCCCTCTGCCTAGACACAATATCATAAAAGGGTATAGGGTACTCATTTTTAAGCAATGTACACCGAACAGAAATAAACAGACACGGTTCCAGATGCGTATTACAAATTATCAACAACTGAAGTCAGTATGTCGCCATTAGAAAACCGAACCACTTCCGAAAAGGTAGGATAGTGAGAAATAAAGCACAATGTAATATATAGACCCATATATTCTATAAATTGCATAATGAGGAGCTTCTTAACTTGTACTCTTCTCCAAGTATAATTAGAATGATCAAGTCAAGGAGGATGAAATGGGCAGGGCATGTAGCACGAATGGGAGGAAACGAGGAATGCATATAGGATATTGGTGGGAAAGCCAGAAGGAAAGAAACCACTGGGAAGACGAAGGCATAAGTGGGTGGACAATATTAAAATTGATCTTAGAGAGATAGAATGGGATGATATGGATTGGATTGATCTGGCTCAGGATAGGGACCAGTGTAGGGATCTTGTTAACACGGTAATGAACCTTCGGGTTCCGTAAAATGCTGGGAAATTCTTGAGTAGCTGCAGAATTGGCGGATCCTCAAGAAGGATTCAGCTCCATGAGTTAGTAAGTAATTAGTTATATACACGTATTGTATTAATTAAGACTCATAATAACAGTGGCTTTGCTGGTTAAGTCGTGTACTGTGTTCTACCTCTCGAAATATAGGATCATAACTTCAAGTCCCACTCGGGGAATGGAAGCACGTCTGCTTTTCTTCTAAGATTATGTCGTTCTGTATATATATCGAAACTTTACGTGGAGCCGATCCCCCTCCAGAGGGGGATCAGTATGAAGTTGCAGTTTTTTTAATACATGGCATAAAAAGGAAATTTGTAAGCACGTAGCAGGGCAAACTCTTTCTAATTCCGCAATTCTAAGGATTAGTGAGCTAATAACTCAGGCAAATTTTAATTTTTAAAGTACCGCCAATATGCGACCTCAATATTTTCAATATAATTAAGATTAATTATTTCCTAAGTTAAAATATTTCGTCAACCACCCATTAAAGAACATTTGTTGAAGAACATCACTCGTTATACAGTGCGTACAATGAAGTGCGCGCCGCGGCTGCAATTTGCCGTGAGTCATACCACCGCAGAACGGATGCAACTCCTCCCCGCGACTGCAGTGCTCCTACGCCGATGGTTGCATAATCGGAACCCGAGGTTGCATTAAACAGTCAGTCTTTGTCTTGCTGTGGAAGTGGAGTGGAATGTTTACAGCTGTCGACAGACGGTGGAAATGAAGTTCACTATTAAACAGCGTGTGTTTATTGTCGAAACTATTGCAAGGAAAAACATTTACAGAAAATTCGCACGTAGGTTTCGTCAGAAATATCCTGACTCGCCAGTTCCCACAAAGTCATGTGTAAACAGGCTTCTGAAAAAGTGGCGGGCCACAGGTTCAGTGAGTGACAAGAAGAAGCAATCGAAGAGAACTGTGCTGACTGAAGAAAAGGTTAAGGATATTCAGGCAAGATTACAGATCAGTCCTCGAAAATCGTTAAGACGCTTAGCACAGGAAACTGGTGTTTCGCTAGGATCTGCTCGCACAGCCACAAAGTTAATCAAATTTCGCCCGTATAAAGTAACAGTTGTGCATGAGCTGAAAGAACCAGATCATGCAGCAAGAATTCGTTTTTGCAACTGGCTGCTGCAAAATGTACACGATGGAATAGTGGATCCTCAGCTTCTATTCATGACTGATGAAGCGTGGTTCCACGTTGGTGGCCACGTCAATGCACAAAACGTAAGAATATGGAGCAATGAAAATCCTCACGCTATACAGCAAGTGCCATTACATAGTGAAAAGGTGGGTGTGTGGTGTGCTGTAAGCCCGCGGCGAATCATTGGCCCCATATTTTTCCACGATACCGTGAACTCTGATCGGTACATTAATGACATACTGAATCCCTTCTTCGATCAGTTGAATGCCGAAGAAAGACAATACGGGTATTTTCAGCAGGACAACGCTACAGCACATACGGCTAATGCATCCATGGTCGCAATACAGGAAGTGTTTGAAGACAGAATTGTCAGTAGAGGACTGTGGCCTCCCAGATCCCCAGATCTCAGTATTTCTGATTATTATCTTTGGGGCAACCTGAAGCAAAAAGTCTACAAAAATAATCCCCGCAGCATTGATAGTCTTCAAAATGAAATTACACGCGTAATTCATTCAATTACCGTCGACGAACTGCAGAGAGTGTCGCGTAATTTATTTGTGAGATGCGCGGCATGTTTGCAAGCAGAAGGAGGTCACTTTCAGCACCTGTTATAAACCACGGTAAGTTATCTTTTTACTGTATTCTTATAAATGTGTGCATGTAGAGCAACTGATGGACGGAGACTCAGCGACACCACTACACTCACGCTATCGGGGAACGGCACTGCAGTCGCGGGGAGGAGTTGCATCCGTTCTGCGGTGGTATGACTCACGGCAAATTGCAGCCGCGGCGCGCACTTGATTGTACGCACTGTATTTTCATGCACTGCCTTCCTTCTGCGGGGTGAGTGTTCTGCGTGTTATTTTGTGAAGTTCGTATAGATGTTTGTGTGGTGTTATTGTCTTGTTATTATGTGCCCCTTTGGTATGTATGTCTATACGCTTTTGGACTAGATGAATGTGTTTAACTTGCTATTAATGTAACAGGATGCTGAATTACAATATTATGAACATACATTATTTCTCTTCAAATTATGATCATAATTATAATCCTATATTATACAGAACTCCTAGTCTGTGTTTTACCAGTTTTTGGTATTTAGTTTTCCTCACGGATTCACTAAAACTTGAAGAAGGGGAATAATAAATTGTATTTGGATATTTTATATGTTTTTATCTAGTTATCTTTATACAGAATAATATTACTGTGATCACAATGGCCGCGCAGTCAAAGAAATTAACTGTCTTTGCCCGCTCAAACACTAGGATCTTGTGTTCGAATTACACTTCATGCATGGGTGTCTGTGTGCGTTTATTCTGTCTTTGCGTTGTCCTGTATTCAGGTAGCGGCTTTATGACGGGCTGATCCCCCATCCAAAGAGTCCTACCGACTATGTATATATTAAGAAACTGAAAAAGTGACCAAGATCCAAAAGGCTATAGAGCCATAGATCGATAGATAGATACATAGATACTATTTCTATCTAAGAATTTCGTATTTCTTCCTTTTTAGAATCCGAGAAACATCGAATTATTTTTGAGTGACTCTGTATTTATGTCTAAAACATGAAGCCACCTGACGTGGAATTGTG